CAAACGCGTGACGATGATTCATTCTAAATGTGGTGGGAGGGGAAAAACCCGAGAAGCCGATGAAAAATCCACGCGACCATGGGGAGAGAGACACGCAAACTGCAAGTATACAACAGGCGTCAGGGTTGTGATTGAACCCATGACCTCCTGCATACCGGGAGAGGGAGATAACATCTCGCCCAAGGGCTATGCGTACCACATGTTGGGACCGACTGATCTAGGAAGCGGTGGTGGTTAACGCATCGTGTAGGTACGTTATGAACCACATATATTTCTAGATTGGAAGCTTTCGTGACTGCAAGGATTCATTTTCTTAGGTTTTTTTCGGTAAAGTCACGGAGGTAAAACATTTAAATTAATAAAAGTAAAATAAAAATCACGACGTTTCGGAGGCAACACAAGTTTATTTTATTTTACTTTTATTAATTTTAATGTTTTACCTACGTGACTTTACCGAAAAAACCTAAGAAAAAAAAACACATATATGTTAACCATCACCCCTTCCAAGTTGAATTATTGGGTGCTGGTTCAGCGCGGCAAGTTCTACCGACATCTCTGCTCAATGTGGTCGTGAGAATTTTCTTTAAACTCGTTCTCGTAACATTACACACCCCTTGCCATCGAAATAATTATTGCCGTTTTTCAAAACAGAATGAAACTGTGGTAAGCGGTCTTGAACAACGGCTCTCTATACATTTTAAATAGGATAATAGTCGTCGCGTTGTTAACCGCTTGCGCGCGTGACAAGTGAATTAAAGTTTGGCTGTGTCGGGTGGTGGAGGGTATTCACGACACAACTTTTATCACATCGTGGCCTTATTAAAATAACTGAAAACAATGAATCAGAGGTGACGGAGTTAACAAACCTACATATCCGTTTTATGCGACGTACGCAGAAACTAATGCACTTCATAAATATATAAAAAAACTATTAATAAAATAATAAATAGGTTCTTAAGATATGTAATCATATTTAAAGACAACATCAATTAATGTCACGATTGATATTATAATTGTTTCAGTTTTTAGTCATCGCAACCACAACAAATGTGCAAATATTATACGTAATAAAAAATATTCCTTTTTGTAGAAAAAAAAAACACCAACTCCCTAACCACGTGACCAGTGGCTATGCACAGGTCACCAAACAATCCAAACCACAATTTCTGCAGCATTCTTGGGTTGTGAACACGATAAGCCACACAAGACCGTGTCATTTGCTGTAACACTGAAACAAACACTGAAACGTTAGCAGACGGCTCCCAGGCGTTCAAAAAAATCTCCACGATTATTTTCCAGTTCACGGACCTGTACGTGGAGAGTGTGGCGTTGAGTGGCCACGCAGTGGCCCCCGGCCACGGCTCGCATATCGGTGGTGGGTCAGAACTCAACCCGTCAAATAATCGCCACGACTGACACATTATGGGAAGGCCCCCCACCCAACATCGTATTGACAGAAGATCCGTCAATTAAAATGATTTTATTTAGTACTAGCGGTAAGTACCCGGCGTTGCCCGGGCGAAAAAGACAGACATACACATTTTAGTATAAAAGCATTGTACCATATTTAGTACAAGGGTGTCAATTTACCGTTGAGGTCGGTGTGTGTGTGTGTGCGTGCGTGCGTGCGGGGTGCATCTGCCATTCGCCAACCCTCGGACAAAGCTGAATCACTTACAACGGAATCTCAAGTCGATGGGTCTGTGTACGCGACACTGAAGAGGATGATGATGTTTTCCCCACCACATCACGACAACTCCAGGCATCCTCGCAGCAGCAGAAGCAGCAGTAGCTGCTCCGGCTTTTGGCTGCTCGCCATCGAACAAAGACGGTGGTCACCGCATGATCGCGCGGCGCTTTCAGATGCGCTTCTGCGGCCGTCTGGAACGTTCCTTCATTCCGATATTAGGAGCTGTGCACTTTTAAATACGTACATATTCCGATGATTCTGATTAAATCTAGATTTAAAACTCATTTCTTTAGAACTGCTTTTTGTGTTTAGTTTGTTGTCCTTCCCCCGCGCCCCCAATTAGCACGGTTGGCTACGTACGGTGCGAACGAAGTTCAATGTACATACACATGACAGAAAATGAGTTTGAGTTTTACGCAGCACTGCGATTGAAGACGTGGAGAGTTTCTTCATGGCAATCTCTGTGTCTCTATTTAACTTCAGGCATTTCTCCATTTCTCTCTCTCTCCTTTCCTGTCTCCCTGTTATCCTTCTGTGTCTGTCACAATGTCTGAGCATGTGTCTCTCTCCTGTGTATGTGTCTGTCTTATCAATCCCTGTTTCTCTGCGTTGTTTTACTCTGTCCTCATGTCTCAGCGTGGGTTTCCATGTGTTTGTCCTTGTTGCAGTGCATCTGTCTATCGCTCCATGTCTCCGTGTCTGTCTCTGGCCACGTTTCCCTCCTATAAACTATTTGTGCATCTTACAAGGTAAAGCTCACTGAGCTATTCGCTTTTTTTTCAGAAACGACCTGGCCACAAAACGATAGCCCAACGATGATACTTCGACAAAGTGGCTCATTGTGTTGAAATTAATCGCAGCAAAAAACGTCGAAATCATCTAAACGCGTGTTTCTCAATGAATTTCAGGCTGCGAGCAGAAAAAATGCTCCGGTCAGATCCGGCCGAAGGTCAAGAGGTCACCCTCCCTGTGTCACAAGCGCCGGTGTCACAGGACTGCTGAGATGCCAGAGCCCAAATCCACGCTCCCAGCCAGGATGCCCCAAGGTGACACAGTCGGCCACAGCTTGGCGCTTACAAGACAATCGATACATTTTGGTTTTGCTCTCAATTGTCCGTGCTCTTATACTCCCTTCCCAAGTCTTCCAAATTTCAAATATAATTTAATTTTTCGATTTAAAGCTTTCGTGACTGCAGGGATTCATCTTCTTGGTTCTTTCGGTAAAGTCACGTAAAATGGAAATAATAAAATAATAAAAATAAAACATAATAAAATAATTCTCACGACGTTTCGGCCACAATGCAAGCAGCCGTCCTCAGGTGGAGAGCAGGTCATTCAGACTCTGTCTTCTCGACAGACCTGCTCTCCACCTGAGGACGGCTGCTTGCGTTGTGGCCGAAACGTCGTGAGAATTATTTTATTATGTTTTTTTTTATTATTTCTATAATTTAATTACCGAGAATAATAAGAAGTGCAGAAACGAGGTTCAATCAACAAGTTCCAAGACCGATTTTCGTTTGACGAGCTGCTTTAAACCCACCGACGATTTGGATATTAGCTCCTGCGCGGTCGTATCCTGCATGGAGACGCCTTCCCGTAACTTCTATCAGCACCTCTCTTGCCGTTCTCGATCGCAGATGCTCTGTGCCGTTGCCTTCGTGTTTGAAATGAGCGTTGGGAATGTCATCGATCCACCTACCTACCTATCGGAGCCGCTTAAAAAAAAAATGGGAAAAGGAAAAAAAAAGCAGAAGCAAGTCACGTGGTGCCACACTGGGAAAGAATTTTGGTGGTGCCGAACAAATATATGTACATTTGGTATTCGCGCCGCTCACACGAAGGCGTTATTTTTAAAACACGCAAACTCACGGTCCCCGGCGGTGTCACGGTAAGGGGGGGCACGGCGATACATGTGTGCAATCCCAATCGAGTCATTTGCGGATAATTCACTTGTTGAATTTGGCAAAGTTGGAGCGTGACGCCGGCACCCAGGGGGAATCTTTAACGTCCACTCTGAAGCAGACGGCACGTGCTTCGTTGGTTAACGCGCCCGCTTGTATTAACCGGGGCGGCCTGGCGGAGCCGAGCCATCTGTGACGAGCGGCTGTCGTACTCCCGCCGGGCCGCGTCAAAGCACCGGAACGTGCCGTTGCTTGGCGACAAACTGGTGGCGCAGAAACCGGCGGTGTGTTGCCCGTGCCAGATCCGCAATCCGGACGTCCGTTCAGGGAATCACCTCTGCGCCGTCGCTCGCCTGCGCGCCGATGAGAGTTCCAGGTTCACCGTCTCGCCGATTGGGGGCTGAGTCACGGGGTTCTCCTTTGCGATTGATCTCTGCCAACACAGTGAACCGGGCCGGCGTGTTTTTTTCCACTGCGAGATTTGACGCTTAGGTGTCAGCATCGCAATGCGTTCCGCCCTCCGTTTTTATCGCCGGCGACGTGATGTTTCGAGCGAAAAACCAACGTGGACCATTGCTCAGCATTTGCACGCGCACACCTTGCTCTCCTTTGCTCAGCCGTCGGGTGGCGCTGCTGCTGCTCCTGCTGCTGCTTTCTGTGCGGTTTCTCAGCAGGCTGCTTCACACGGCCGAAGAATGAAACTCATCGCAGTGCCATTCCGAAGTCGGAATTGCCTCGGCGCGTCGTCCGCATTTCGGCTGAACGCTCGTCGCCGCGTCGAACAAAAAAAAACAGCCGCGGAGAATTTCGACCGGCGCGCGGAATCGACACGACAGCAACACGCGAACAAATCACCGACGCCACCCCAACGCCTCTTGTTCCACCGCACAACCGAGGCACGCCCGGGTGCGCCGTGCCGAGCCAAGCCCAGTGACGCGCCGGTTTTTTCCACCGCAGGAAGCCGAGCCGTGCCGCGGGGCGTCACGCGCAACGAACCGAATTGAGATGCGCACACGGATGGCGCAATGACGCACGCAGCGTTAACGCGACGGACGTCACGTGACGACGCGGCGAATCTTCTCCCTCCTCGAGCGATGACGTCGCCCCTGCAAGGGCCCCCCCCCCACCCCCCCACCCCCCGAGCAGGAAAAAATTCAGATGTCTTTCGTAGACCACAGCATCCTACGGTTTGGTGAAGTCTCGGCGCGGGCAGCAGATAGCCGGCTCGGCCCGGTCGTGCCGGTGCACGACCGGTATCGCGTCACGTCGCTCGGGGCCGCAGGTCACGTCCATCACGAGGAGGGGGGTCTTGGATTCACGCGTGCGTTTTGTTGTTGTTGTTGTTATTGCCCCCCCACCACCCCCTGCCCACCCCTCCCACCCCACCACCCCCCCGACACTTCGCCACGACGTCCGTCAGTTGTACATGAGCTGCACCCTCTTGGCGGAGAGGGCGTTGTCCGGGCGCGCGCTCCGCTCCGCGTTGGCGGCGTGCGTGGGCACCAGGCACGAGACGGCCGCCACGTTCTGCTTGTACCGCGCCTGCGGACCGGGGCTGGGCACGTGGTTCCCGTGGGGGCTGTCGCAGCCGCCGCCGCCGCCGGCCGGCGCAGACGACGCAGCGGCGGCGGCGGCCGCGGCACTCGGCTTACGGGCTCGGAGCTGCTGCCGCTCGGTGAGTTGTCGTCGGAGCTCGCGAACCCGCTCCTCTTTCTGCGAGCGGAGGGCGAGGGAGGAGAAGTTAGGCGGGTGGGGACAACAACAACAACAACCGCCATTCGTCACTAAGTGGCGGTGACGTCACCACGACACTTGTGACAGGACCATGTGCAACTTGAGGTCACGTGGAGTGTCGGGTGGGATCATCACGTTCTAACCCGCGCCTACTGGACATCTGTGAGAAAGAGCTTCACAGCTCATCGGATTCCTCCGGTGTGAATAAATATTCTTATTCTGCAATCGCTGATCTTGTGCCGCGTCGTCTGAAACAGCGCAGTTGAGCGTCAGTCGTCCGGGGCACGGCACGACAAATTAAAGCGTACACGTGTGTGGCACATTAGGAATGAATCACTCTTTTAATTATGTCCTTGTGCAGCAAGGGAGTAAAGTGTGGTTCTGTGCAAGTCCTGATATGCTGTGCTGTGCATCAATGCATGTGTGTACAGCAGCATGTGATGACTGAGTTGGGCCTGTAGGTGGCTGGCAGGGTTAATGAATAACCGCACTTGGACACCAGTCACGTGGTTAATGGCGGCTCGGAAGAATTGCTGTTTGTAACACGTGCTGGTGCATTTTACAGGTAAAGGACCCAAAGGTTGTTTTTAATCGTTATATAAATGTTCTAGACTTGTTCTAGACTTTAAGCTTGGCTTTGAATTGTTCGTTTGTGATATATGCAATTAGAGGCGTTTTAGCACTGTGCATTGTAAAGGGATGACGCACTGTAATTACCTACTGTCATTGTAATTATCTAACCCTAATACTGTTTAGGCTATAACCATGCCCATGTACCCAGAGTATGACTACTTGCAATGCTATTGAGAATAGAACACATGTAAAGTAGTAAGCTGTACAATGGTGATATACAGTACGTATACTGTACACATACAGTACATATAATGGGTGTAAGATACCGATATAAGTAGATAGTATAGATAAACAAACAGCTTAGGATTAAAGGAATATTCGAATAGTGATGTGCAAATGTGATTGTCAAAGACAAAGATGGATTATAAGTAGTAGAATTGGGTTTAAGAGAAAGCTGTTAATGAATAACCGCACTTGGACACCAGCCACGTGGTTAATGGCGACTCGGGAGCAAGGCTGGTTGTAACACACGTGCTGTTGCAATTTACAGAGTGACGGTGCTGTTCTTCACAAGATTGCTATTAACCACAATAAATAAATGTGCTTGCCCTCGATTTGGAGCACCTGCCCACGTCCTTCATTTCGAGTGTGCAATACGTGTACGCACCGAGCCGCAAAAAAAAAAATTCTGATCGCCCTCCGCACCTCGGCGATGATGCGCTCCAGCTCGCGGTTCTCACGCTCCAGCTGCCGCGACTTCTCCTCCTCGTTGTTGAGCGTCGTCGAGATGGTCTTGTTGGCGTCGTGCTGCTCCGTCTGCCACTCGCCGCGCGTGATCAGCCTCCGCATCTGCAGCGAGGGCCGCGGGGCAGACAAGGCAGCGACTCTCGGTGACGGACCGTATGTCCCCCCGTTCTACGTCCCAGTCCCTACCCACCCCCCGCCACCAGGGCTGAGATCGCGGATTCATCGTTGTGCTCCTGTAGTGACTCAACTCGGACGCATACTCTTAGTCTTAGGTTTTTTCGGTAAAGTCACGTGGGGTAAAAAAGTTAAATTAAAATTAATAGAAGTAAAATAAAAATCACGACGTTTCGGAGGCAACACAAGCTTCCGTCTTCAGGTGGAACCATCACAGCAACGATTGCTGTATCAAGTAAAAACCTCTTTAAAAACCTCTTTACTTGATACAGCAATCGTTGCTGTGACGGTTCCACCTGAAGACGGAAGCTTGTGTTGCCTCCGAAACGTCGTGATTTTTATTTTACTTTGGTTAATTTGAATTTTATTTCTCATCAAATCCTTGCAGTCTCGAAAGCTTCAAATCTAGACTCAACTCGGAGACAGTAAGACTTGGAGGCACTTCGTTATTTAACAAGCACCATCGGGATAACACACACAACACCCTACGTGGGTGTACACTATTATTATTATTAAGACCATCTATTGTGGGCGGCACTACTTAGTTAGAACAGTTGGTAGCCTGTCTGACTTGCAGCGCCCCGGGATGGTGAAGACGGAGATGACGACGACGAGATTGTGACGACGACGAGATTGTGACGACCATGGACTTGAACAACAGTCCCAAGGTCCCGCTCAGGGGCCCACGCCCCCTTTCCGGAACCTCCCAGCAGGTTCCTGGGGCTTCCCGATGGGCCCCTTCTGTGACCTTTCCCCTTTAGATGTCCCCCCTCTCGTGTCTATCGTGGCCTGCTGACCCGAGCACTGCCGTACACCACAGTTACCCTTTTCCGCCAGCAGCCAGCGTCTATGCCACTACACTCCTCAAGGGCTACTGTAGTAGGTATGGGGTTGGGGGGGGGGGGGGCTTCAGCACGGTTCGCCAGTAAGATGTTTAGTTTTGCTCACCAGCCCCGGGTAACATCGGCGGCAGTAAAATCTGCGCTGGTCCTTCCAGGCGCTGGTCAGTGGTGCACCCCCCTCCCCCCCGCGCGCTCTTGTACCTTGCACGTTACGTCACGTGAATAAATCACGCTGCGGAGCGAAATGTCGGACGTGGTGCCGAACAAGTGGCGGTGCGAAAAACCCCGAAAACGCAGCGGAGAGCTGTGGCAAAGGTGATTATCGTCAAGACGACGGAGATGATTCGGTGATATCTCCGCCAGCTTACCTTGGGCACAAAGAGGACGATGAGGGTGATGTAGGAGGAGAAGATGACGGCCAGCGCGGCGAAAGCAAAGGAAGCGTCCTGCTGCTTGCTCACGATCATGGCCACGGGCGCCGTGATCATGCACAGAACCTGCACGGGGCCCACAAAGACAAACGTCCCCCGTGTAGCCTCGACCGACTGTTGGGGCAAGTGCTGTTAGCAAGCAACCAATGATGGGTCGGCATGGCACACGAGGTGGGTGGCCAGCACCGCGCCTGGCTGCCTTTGTCCCCACCCAGTGTGCGATCGTTTCACACCACACCAAGTACTCATTTGAGGCCAAGTCAACCTAAGGGAGGCCCTGGATAGGTAAATATAATCGTCACTGGTGACGGCCGTGAGCGAAAATCGAACTCGGGTCGCCAGGTTCAAAGTGCAGAGCGCTAACCGCGACACTACCGCTCCCCAAACTCGGGATGAGTTATATTAAAGTATTAGAGATTTCGATTTTTAAGTGTAATTTTGGATGATCGGATTACGTCCACAATACATACTCTTTCCAAGGCATCTGTCCAGCGTGAAGACCAGGCCAAAACTACCACACTCTGTGCTTTGGATAGACTCGCCCCCGCCACACGAACATGGAATTCCCGCCAAGGGCTGTAATCAAGTGGCATCAATGGCTCAAAGCTCATTCGAGCCGCATTCACATCGCTTTGACCTTTAACCTCCGAATCGCTTGCTAATCAACCAATGAGACAGCGGCCGCTCCGCCCGCGGGGCCCATTACCGAGACATTGTAGATCGCCATGCCCACGGAGCGGTGGTCGTTGATTTTCTCCGTGGAAACGCTCTTGGTCTCGTATGCCAGGAAAATGCCCAGCAGCAGCAGGAGGCCCTTGTACGTGTACACGATGCCTGCGCACGCAAACGTGGAGTTCGTCACGCGCGCCAAACTCACTCAGGGCCTAACTTGGCTCCCCTCCCACCCTCAACCAGTATATATACTGTTTTCTTGGAATTTCTCTGACTTGATACAGCAATCGTGCTGTGACGGTTCCACCTGAAGACGGAAGCTTGTGTTGCCTCCGAAACGTCGTGATTTTTATTTTATTTTTTATTTTACTTTTATTAATTTTCAATTTTTTACCTACGTGACTTTACCGGAAAAAAACCTAAGAATATGAATCATTGCAGTCACGAAAGCTTCAAATCTAGAATTCACTTTTTTTTGAACGATTGTTGCGACTTCGGAGCCGCACCGGCTCTGCCAATTAGCACGCTTTGCTATGCACGGTGTGAAAGAAGTTCAACGTGAGAACGTGCGTACACAACTCCCTTCTCCCAATAATCAGCGTTTTTGGGTTTAGATCGCGTTATTTATAAATGTGTCGTAACCCTCCACCACCCGACACGGCCAATCAGCAAAAAAGTGTCACGTTGACAAAGACAAAGAGTTCGCTGCTTTAGCCCACCGGTGTATTGAAGCGTGAAACCACAACATTTACAATTTTTGAGTAGTACGACGTTTCGCTGGTAATTGCGATTTAAAGGTTTTTATTAACTTCTCAGCGGGTACAAGGAAAACCAAAGAGAGTACTGAAAACCACTCCTTCCCAGGCGCCCCGGTTGGCCCCTTCGAGTCTCCGTCACATCCGCGGGCTCCACCCACATACAATGCAACAAAAAAGCTCGCCGCCATAACGCACACCGCCCCGTTCCCCTTATTTACATTCATCACCACCATTCACCCATGCGCTGCTCCATCACATCGCCTTCCCCCGATCGAACACGTACATTCCTCGCCCACACGACTTAGCAGGCCGGCTAAAATGTGCATGGCCATCCTTCACTATCCCTTCCCTATACCCGCTGGTCCCCTTGCTACCCCACCCCGGGTAGGGGCCACTTCCACTTCACACCTGCGGCCTTGTATCCCAGCCTAACCCGGTCTACTTCCATCACCCTTTCTAGCAACCTCCTCGCCCAGTAGCACACCTCCAACGGTGATATAGGGGACCCATCCAACTCTTTTCTGCGAGCTCCCCACAAGGCCTCCTTTGTCGCGCCTATTATGGCCCACGTTCGATCTCTGTCATCTCCCCGCACCTCCCTTAAGACTCCCCACATAATGTCCCGACTGATCACCTGCGACGGGTAAAACCAGGACAACAGCGGACTGCTCAGTCTCCACACCTCCTGTGCGAAGGGACACCTCACCATGACGTGCACCGCGTCCTCATCTGTGTTGCAGCCCCTCGGGCATTTGGGCGAACGTGCCATTCGGCGAGAAAACATGAAGCCCCTCGTCTCCAATCTATCCCACACCGCCAACCAGGACAGATCTCTCTGTTCTTTTGTGAGCGCCGTTGATGAAGTGTTCCTCCACACTTGACGGTACATAGTCCTCTTCGCGCCCATCACCCCCTCGCAGGCCTCCCCTTCGTTTACTTTGGCCAATACCTCCTTGGAGTTCCACGATCCCCCTCTCTGACTCAAATTGTACATCTTTTATGTAGTCACCCACCGCCGCATTCAGCCATCCTTGTGGCCAGGCCAAGGGCGTGCCCGCCGGTAATTGGGTCATCCCAAGCCCCCTCAGGAGCCACATCAGGCGATACCTTAAATAACATGCGGCCTTCCCCCGGGGCTCTTCGGAAAAGAATAACCTCAAAGTGTTGCACACAAAAATTGAGGACAGCACACGTGCAATATTTGGGGCACCCTTCCCCCCGTTCTCGATACGTTTACACATCACCACTCTCTTCACTCTATCCATCCCGCCTCCCCAAATGAATTTAAACAACATCGATTGCAGGATTCTTGCCTCCCTCCTACCTGGCGGGTACACATATGCGAGGTAGTTGAGTGTTGGTAAAACCACCACCCTCACTACCAGAATCCTCCCTTCCATCGTGAGCCGTCTCCCGGCCCACTTGCCTAACTGTCCCTTTACCTGCTTTATCCTCCCGTCCCAGTTTCGTTCCGCCGACCTTTCTCGGCAAAAGGACACTCCCAAGACCTTGACTTCCTCCGTCTTTATCCCCAACTCAGGCGGCCGACCCTCAAATAGTCTCGGGTCCCCGAAGGCCATCAATTCGCTCTTCCTCGCATTCACCTTCAAGCCGGAGGCCAGGCCGAAGCGGTTTGTCTCCTTCATGGCCCCCCACACTGATGCCACGTCCCTACAGAGCACGACTACGTCATCCATATATAGCGCCACCTTCCCCTGTTCCTTATTCCCGGGGATGGTCACTCCCTTAATCTCCTCATTGTTTCTTATTGCCTGTGCAAGGGGTTCCATACACATTACAAATAGAACCGCGGACATCGGGCACCCCTGTCTCACCCCTGACTCTACTGGAATTGTCCCCGAGAGCTCCCCATTTATCAGTAGTCTGGTCTTGAGCCCTTGGTAAAGACGCCTCACCCAATCGACCAAGGGTCCCCTCACTCCTATTTTTTCCAACACTGCTGAACATATACTCGTGCGAGAGGCGGTCGAAAGCCTTCTCAAGATCCAGGCTAAGAAGCCCTAGGGGGCATCCCCTCTCTCCTTCTACCTCCTATTGCCTCCCTTAATAAAATCAGGGAGTCCGAAATCCTTCTTCCTGGCACCGCACACGTCTGGTCGGGTTCGATTACTCCCTCCACCACCTTCCCCAGTCGCGTCGCAGCTATTTTTGCCATAATCTTGTAGTCCGAGTTCAGGAGCGTAACTGGACGCCAGTTTCCCAACTCTCTCCGGTCCCCCTTCTTATACATCAGTATGATGAGCCCCTCACACATTTCTTCTGGCACCAGTCCACCCTCCAGCATTTCCCTATACATCTGCAGCATGTCCCCTTTCATTAAATCCCAGAATGTAATATAGAATTCTGCTGGAATTCCATCCAGTCCTGGCGTCCTATTCTTATTCTGCCTCCTCACTGCCTCCTCCACTTCCTCCATCTGGATCCTCCCTCCCAGTACCTCTGGGTTCTTAACCTCATGTCTTAGCTCCCCTAGTAGTGCCTCCCTTATTCCCTTATCCGTTCCCTTCCTCCCATACAACTCCCCATAGTACTCCTCCGCTATCTCTATCATACCCTCTGTCGTTGCCTGCCTGCCTCTGACCGGACTCACCAATTCCCTAAGTGTGTTGTCTCCTGCCTTGCATTTCTTAAAGAAGAAACTCGTACATTTCTCTCCCTGTTCCGTTGCCCTGACCCTTGCCCTGTATGCCATTTGTTTGACTCTTTTCTCCAATACCGAGGATAACCTTCCCTTCAATCTTCGTATATCCTCACCCACCGGGAATCCCAGCTCAAGTAACCTGTGCTTCTTCTCGATTCTAGCGTTCCACAGCTGCAGTTCCCTGTTTACACTCCTCCTTCTACTATGCGTCTGGAAGAGGGCCTTTATCCGGCCCTTCACCATGCTCCACCACTCCACCCTCGTGGCAAAGCATTCCTGCAGGGTCGTCCAGTCTTCGTACTTCCTTACAAAGTCTTCCACGACCCTTCTGTCTTCCAACAGGCTTACATTCATTTTCCAGGTTCCCTTCCCCATCTTCAGGCCACCTGGAATACCGAGCTTTGCCTTCACCAAATTGTGATCTGACAAGGGGAAGGGTTCCAGGTCAGCTCCATCCACCTTCACATTGGCAGACACAAAGATGAAATCTATTCGTGATTGCGTTCTACCAGCCCTTATCCGACCACGTGTATCCCGGTCTCACCGGGTGTACCTTTCTGAAGGTGTCAGTCATTTTAAAATCCTCTATCATCTCCTTCAACTTCCTAGAGGAAGGGTCGAGCCTCCTCCCAGCCACCGATAATAGGTCTGCCAGGCACAACGGGCAGTTAAAATCACCCCCCATTATGACTTGCCTTCTCGTCACGAGCAGGGTCGCTACATTATTCCATAGGTCCACTCTTTCTGTGCACGTCGTGGGGGCGTACACATTTATTAGTCTCAGGTTTGCCTCTCCATAAGACACGTCCACATAATGGAGGCGGCCCGGGACCACCTCTTGGGACCCGACTATCTGTATACCCCTCCTGCCTAGGAGGGTAACTACCCCCGTGCATCGATTTTCATTACTCCCGGACCAAAAGTAGTAGCCATCCCAGCTCTCCAACAGCTCCTCCCGGCCCAGGGTGTATGGTAGGTGGCATTCCTGGAGGAAGACCACCTCCCACTTGGTAGCCTGTAGCAGTTGTATTATTGCTCCTCTCCTCCCCTTTCCCTTCAAGCTCCTCACATTTACGGACGCCACAGAAAGTTCCATGTTAGGATGTGTCTCAGTCCGAAGTGGCCTTCTCCGCTCGCCCTCCGTAACCATCTTCATTCGCCAGTTCCCGCAATTTCATTTTGCCCCTTGTTCTCAAGGGTTTCCCCCTGCGCGGGCTCTCCACCCTTTCCTCCATCCCCTCCCTCGAGGCCTCTGTGTCCAGCGAGGAGTCCGAGGATTCCGTGCTGCCTAAAGGGGCGCCTCTTTTTGGGGCTCTCCGTATCCTCCTTTTCCTTCCGATTGGTCCCTCCCATGTCTCGCTACCGCCTTCCTCCTGCTGTTGTTCCCCTTTTCCTTCATCCTCCTCCACCGCCTCTGCCCAGTCTTCCACGGTCGTCTCGGAGATGCTGCCCATGCCGTCGCTCCCCTCCCCCGCCAGCCCCTCTTCCTGCTCGCTCGATGTTGATTCTGCTCTTTTTGCATGCCTCTCCCCTTCTCCCCCTCCATCCGTCGCTGGTGGCTGCTGCTCAGCCACCTCCCCACGTCCTTCCCTCACCAGTTCCTTATCCAGGTCCAGTTTGGTCCCACCCCCTTCCTCATCCCTCGCTCCTCCTACCCTATACGCCCTAACCTTGTTGGCGTACGACTCCGGACAATTTTTGTACAGGTGTTCTCGGCTACCGCAGAGGTTACATTGTGCCGGAACACTGCATTCTTCTACCTCGTGGTCCAGTGCCTTGCATCTATAGCAGACTTTTGTCTTGCACACTGCAGCCAGGTGACCGCTGCCCCCACACCTCCTACACAGTTTAGGTTGTCCGGCATACACCACATATCCCCGGTTGCCTCCTATGTTCAGGGCACTCGGGATGTGTCTCAAGGTCCCTCCTTCTGTTTTCAGCCGCACCCTCCATTGTCTTGCCCCTGTCCATATCCCCACTGAGTCCCTCACCTTTTTACAGCCCGACAGTACCGAGCAGTGCTGTCTTAGCCAGACCTCCACGTCGTGGTCATGTAGGGCTTCATTGTATAGGAAAATAGTCACCACCTTCGTGTCCAGCTCTGATAACAGTTGTAGCTTCATTGACATCAATGGCTTCTCCTCCGCCTTTTCCTCGAAGCGGGTCATAAATCTTTGTAGCAGGGGGCTTGAGTTGAAGCTTACATCAAACGCCCTCCCTCCCGGCAGAGTTATCAAACAGTACAAGTCTGTCGGCTCTATTTGTAGCAAGCCCATCATTATTGACCGTACAAAGGTCGCTCGGTCGATGGTCACTTCTTCTGCTACCTCGTCCTTCATCATTACTCTGACGCAATTATGTCGTTTGACATGAGGTGGTGTCAGACTCACCCCTGCCCCGCCTCGCCATTTCCCGTCTCGTTCCCGGGGCCTCCCAGCTCCCACCGGTCCAGCGTCCACTGTCACGTTCCCCCTCCGGGCCTCCCCTTGCCCCAGGGTTGCTGGGGTCTCTCTGGCTTCATTCCACACCCTCCACTCGGGGGCCCCCGCATCTCTGCGTCCGGACACCGTACCTTTTTCTCCTCGGCCTCCCTCACCCACTCCATCAGCTCCCGCCCTCCCATCCAGTTCCTCCATCCTCTCCTTCTGCCGTGCCTCCGCCACGTTCCCCTCCATCCATCTCCCTGCCTCCTCCACGCATCCCCCTGCTGCCAGCGGGTCGGTCTGGTTGCCCCAGTCCCCACCGGCAGCGTAGGTGGTGTCGGTGGCCCTCTGCTTTCGCCGCGTCTTCTTGTCTCCTGCAGTCACCGTCTGGCCGACTCTGTCGTCCCAGGCTCCCTCAGCAGTGCAGGTGGCATTCATTTCTCTTGACGCACTCCCTGCTTCCTTTTCATCTGCTGCGAGCATAAGCTGGGCGGCTCGGTCATCCCGGTCTCCTTCAGCAACTCGGGTGGCCCTCGTGGTCCTTGACTCTCGCCATTTCCCCTCTTCGTCTGTTGCGATTTCCGTCTCCATTCTCCAGCAGTCCCCACTTCTTGGCAGCGTGGTCATCCCTGGCCACACTGTCAGGGCCCTCGCAGGCCTCGGGGCTGGTGGCTAGGTCTCACTTGAGATCCGGACGGGCTGGAAGGATCACCTCGATGCTCCTGGTGTCTCCCCTGGCGAGCCAGGGCGATTTCCCCCTCATCGGGCAATTCGCCAGAATGTTGAGGCTCTGCTCTGTCTCCCGTTCTTATATAGAGCAGCAGCAGCAGGGTGACGTCATCATTAACTCATCAACTCATCAGGTGCAACGATTTGAGGAGGGGGGGGGGGGTTATTGTAATTATATACTAGATTAGTAATCAGGCAGTTGTTACGATGCGAGTTGTAGATTAGTAATCCCTTCTCCCCGCAGGTGCTTCGTGCGGTGTGTGTGTCTGTGTGTGTCTCACCCAGCCACGTGGTCATCTTGCGCGAGCTGCAGTGCTCCAGCTGTGGGAGAATCTCAACGTCGTCGCCCACCAGATTCTCCTTGCCGAAGCCCTGCGTGGTTCCAATTCAAGTTCAGTTATTATGTACAGCCCTGTGAGCCATTCGGCTCTTGAATCGGGTGCAACCGCAACAAACAAAAAAACTAAAACACGAACAAAAAAACATCTTAAAGTGAATATGTGAAAATCCAAGAAAAAACAGCAAAATATTGCAGAAAAAAACACCGTACACCAACGCTGTGTGCAAAAATCCCAGTGGGATGCAAGTCAAACAACCAACAACAACCACAAGACAACTTAGATTAAGGCCATCAGTCTAACTCTGTAATACAACAAACCAACAAGGTTTGGGAGCACGCGCGCACAGACCATCGGAGCACCAAGCAGTCGAGGGTTGGGGCCAGGGTGCGTGCCATCGTCCCTATTTCTGTCGCAGTGACTAGGAGATGTTAACTACCTCGCCCGGTACGCAGGAGGTCGTGGGTTTGATTCCAACCCTGACGCCTGCTGCTGTTTATTTGGAGTCTGCGTGTCTCTCTCTCATCATCATCACGGTGGCTAGGAGATGTTAACTACCTCGCCCGGTACACATGAGGTCGTGGGTTTGATTCCAACCCTGACGCCTGCTGCTGTTTATTTGGAGTCTGCGTGTCTCTCTCTCATCATCATCACGGTGGCTAGGAGATGTTAACTATCTCGCCTGGTCTACAGGAGGTCGTGGGTTCGATCCCGACCTGACGCCTGCTGTTTCTTTGGAGTCTGCGTGTCTCTCTCTCATCATAATCGCGGTGGCTAGGAGATGTTAACTACCTCGCCCGGTATACAGGAGGTCGTGGGTTCGATTCCAACCCTGACGCCTGCTGCTGTTTATTTGGAGTCTGCGTGTCTTTCTCTCATCATCATCACGGTGGCTAGGAGATGTTAACTACCTCGCCCGGTACACAGGAGGTCGTGGGTTTGATTCCAACCCTGATGCCTGCTGCTGTTTATTTGGAGTCTGCGTGTCTCTCTCTCATCATCATCACGGTGGCTAGGAGATGTTAACTACCTCGCCCGGTACACAGGAGGTCGTGGGTTTGATTCCAACCCTGACGCCTGCTGCTGTTTATTTGGAGTCTGCGTGTCTCTCTCTCATCATCATCACGGTGGCTAGGAGATGTTAACTACCTCCCCCGGTACACATGAGGTCGTGGGTTTGATTCCAACCCTGACGCCTGCTGCTGTTTATTTGGAGTCTGCGTGTCTCTCTCTCGACATCATCACGGTGGCTAGGAGATGTTAACTATCTCGCCTGGTCTACAGGAGGTCGTGGGTTCGATCCCGACCCTGACGCCTGCTGTTTCTTTGGAGTCTGCGTGTCTCTCTCTCATCATAATCGCGGTGGCTAGGAGATGTTAACTACCTCGCCCGGTATACAGGAGGTCGTGGGTTCGATTCCAACCCTGACGCCTGCTGCTGTTTATTTGGAGTCTGCGTGTCTCTCTCTCATCATCATCACGGTGGCTAGGAGATGTTAACTACCTCGCCCGGTACACAGGAGGTCGTGGGTTTGATTCCAACCCTGACGCCTGCTGCTGTTTATTTGGAGTCTGCGTGTCTCTCTCTCATCATCATCACGGTGGCTAGGAGATGTTAACTACCTCGCCCGGTACACATGAGGTCGTGGGTTTGATTCCAACCCTGACGCCTGCTGCTGTTTATTTGGAGTCTGCGTGTCTCTCTCTCATCATCATCACGGTGGCTAGGAGATGTTAACTATCTCGCCTGGTCTACAGGAGGTCGTGGGTTCGATCCCGACCCTGACGCCTGCTGTTTCTTTGGAGTCTGCGTGTCTCTCTCTCATCATAATCGCGGTGGCTAGGAGATGTTAACTACCTCGCCCAGTACGCAGGAAGTCGTGGGTTTGATTCCAACCCTGACGCCTACTGTTTATTTGCAGTCTGCGTGTCTCTCTCCGCCTGGCCGCGTGGATTTTCCTCTGGGTCCTCCGGTTTCTCCCCCCCACATTTAGAATCGACGTCACGTGTTTAAGAGTATTTGTGACAGCCAGAGCACTTCTTAACAAAAGAGCCATACAGCTCAGTGGGGCTTACCTTGTTAAATAAAAAATTTAGTAAGTTTAATTGAGCGAAATTTTTCGGTTTGACCCGAGTTAAAGACATCATTAAGACCGTGAAAGAAAGGTAAGGGGGGTTTTTGGGGAAGATGGTCAACGGAGTGGCAGCCAAGGGTGGCGAACACGCACGAGAGAGCAAGGACGTCCACCGTGGAGATGGAGCGGTAAAATCAGCATGCACGCCAGTGGCTTGATGGAGTGTTATAGCGTGGGACCGCGAGAGATGTTTGATGACCCAGGGCTTGGCCTTCCTCCAGCAGTGGAATGACCACATATGATGATGATCTTCTTGGTTCTTTCAGTAAAGTCACGTAGAAGGGAAATAATAAAATAATAAAAATAAAACATGATAAAATACAATTCACACGACGTTTCGGCCTCATGTCGTGAGAATTATTTAATTATGTAAATTTTTATTATTTTATTATTTCCCTTCTACGTGACTTTTACCGAAAGAACCAAGAGATGAATCCCTGCAGTCACGAAAGAAGCTTTAAATCAAGATGATGATGTATTCATATTCTTAGGTTTTGTCGGTAAAGTCACGTAGGTAAAAAATTCAAATTAATAAAAGTAAAATAAAATAAAAATTCACGACGTTTCGGAGGCAAAAAAAAAAGATGTTGATGTTTATCATGATGACGACGAGCTGATGATGATGATGACGTTGTTCATCATGATGATGACGACGAGCTGATGATGATGATGACGGATTACCTCGACGGTTCTCTGCAAGGGGTCGACGAGCTGCCAGATGAGGATGGTGACGGCATCGATGAAGATGAGAACCCCCGCGGTGACGTAGAGCTTCCATTGCTCCAGTTGCTGCGGGGGTGGGACAGGGGTGAGGGGCAGGGGTGTTAATTCAAGGGCAATGCTCACGAAGCCTCAACTCTTCACATCCATTCTAAGAAGCCACCTGATGCTTAGGTTTTTTTTTTAAACCCAATCCCAAGCGAGTAATTTTTATTTTTATTGCTACATTCAATGCCACTCCGTTTGCTGCACAGACATTCCTCCATAATACAGGTGGTGGGGGTGGTGGGGGGGTTTAAGGACACATTGATATATGTACGCGATCTAACCCAACAAAAAAACCTTATTAGGGATGATATTGCTCGCGAAAAGCCTAACACGTGCTAAACAAAAATTCCTCGTTTAACGAAGAAGCAGATGCGTGCCGCGTTAAGCGAAAATGCGTAAAGGGAAAAAAAAACGTCCCCAGAAGAAATCACGGAATGGTAACGTCTGGCAAGGTACAATAAATGCGCACGCAGCGTGGTGGTGGGAGACACTCCGCTCATCCTCGCAGCGGCTTTTGGCTGGCCATCGAACAAAAGATGGTCATCGCATCGCCCGTCTGGAGCGCTCTGCATTCCAATATTGGGGAAGCTACTGGAGCTATGGCACTTTCAAATCATCTAGATTGAAATCTCATTTCTTTATAACTGCTTTTTGGTGTTTGTTGTCCTTCACCCGCGCGCAGCGACCGATTAGCATGGTTGGCTAACGTGCGTATGCGAACCAAGCTCGACACGCGGAACACTCATACCACGCGTTAACGCGAGGCGCTGCCGAACGTACCGGTCTCATCTCCTTCTTGTCCTCCTTCTTGGTGAATAGGGTGTGCACCCACCAGATCTTGGTGAACATGCTGCCGTAGCCCATGCCGAATCCAATGCTCAGCAGCCACACGCGCACCTGCACACCGCGACCACGACCATGCTCACAGTTGGGATTCATCGCGGCAACATCGCTCCTGCTGATGGGTCTCTGCATCCGTCACGCGCGACGGAGAGCCTTCCGCCGCGATAGACCCGCCGCTGTGGGAACGGCGCGAGTGCTAAAATATTCAATCTCGATGTGAAGCTTTCGTGAGCGCAGGAATCCATACTCTTTGGTTCTTTCGGTAGAGTCACGTTGATAGAAAAATAAAAAAAATATATAAAAAAAAATGTATCACGACGTTTCAATCGCAACACAAGCGGAAAAAAAAAATGTAGCAGTTTTTCAAATGATTTTTTACGCTTGAGGACGACCGCTTGTGTGTTGCGATCGAAACGGCGTGATGAATTATTTTTTGTTTAATTTAATTTTTTTACCCACGTGACTTTACCGAAAGAACCAAAGAGTATATTAAAAGGGGATTTTGCCTATTGGGTTTCTGTGGAAAAGAGCTTCATAGCTCATCAGATTTCTCCAGGATAAATACAGATTCAGGTTTTAATGTGCATTGTTTAAATTTGTATTTTAGTATTTATTGAGTGATTGCGTGTTGTCTTCGTGTGAAATTTGAACTTGTATACTTTTAGTCGAAACGTCATTATATACTAAAATATTATTGTTTTTGTTATTGAGAATCAGAATCTCTGTTTATACTGGAGGAATCCGATGTCCAGTCGGGACAGGCTCATGAAGTTACAACAACAAACAAACACAACAACAAACAAACACAACAACAAACAAACACAACAACAAACAAACTCAAACACGAGAGGAGTGCAAAGTATAGGAAAGGTGAACAAATTACACAAAAAAAGTTAAATTTCGATTTAAAACTTTCGTGACTGCAGGGATTCATCTTCTTGGTTCTTTCGGTAAAGTCACGTAGAATGGAAATAATAAAATAATAAAAATTAAACATAATAAAATTTCGATTTAAAGCTTTCGTGACTGCAGGGATTCATCTTCTTGGTTCTTTCGGTAAAGTCACGTAGAATGGAAATAATAAAATAATAAAAATAAAACATAATAAAATAATTCTCACGACGTTTCGGCCACAACGCAAGCAGCCGTCCTCAGGTGAAGAACAGGTCTGTCGAGAAGACAGCGTCTGAATTTTTATTTTTATTATTTTATTATTTCCATTCTACGTGACTTTACCGAAAGAACCAAGAATATGAAAAAAGCTATTTTACCAGGTAAAGCCACTGAGCTAGCAACTTCTTTTTCAGAAGCGACCTGGCCACAAACGATAGCTCAAAAATTAGGCTCATCACGTGGAAATGTACAGCAGCCAAATAATCTAAATTCACTTTGATTATAAATGCGGAGAGAAAAACCAGAGGACCCAGAAAAATAAAACCCACGCTGCCACGGGGAGAGAGACACGCAAAACTCCAAATATACAACAGGCGTCGGGATCAAACCCCTGACCTCCTGCACACCAGGCGAGGTAGTTAACATCTCCTAGCCACTATGAGACCTCCTTTACCAGTGGCAAAATATAGTAGTAGGTTTTTACCCTTTAAACTGGAACAAAACTGACACCTTTATACAAGGCATCATGTTTGCAATAACCGCAACACAAGCATTTTGACTGCTTGTGTTGCGTATATTGTAAACATTATGCTTTGTATAAAGGTGTCAGTTTTGTACCAGTTTAAAGGGTAAAAACCTACTACTATATCTCCTAGCCACCGTGTTGTTATTATTACCTGGCAGATGAACGGGAACTGACTCTCGCTGATGTGGAGGCCATCCAGACCAAGTGGCAGCACCACGGCCAGCGTGAGGATGCATCCCAGCGCCGTCAAGTTGTTGAGGTTGGGCTGCGAGTTCTGGATGTATCTGGAGTCACAGAGGCGGGAAACGCGCAAACCAAGGAGTTATCTGAACCACAAGACCTCGGCTGATCCTGTTAAAGGAGCATGGACCAGGGGCGGTTTCTTCATTAGGGCGATTGGGCGACGCACCACCAATGTCATTGAACCACAGAGTCACGCGAGCCGTTACTGTGCCTCTGGATATAGTCCAATCAGCGTCATGTCACGTTCTGTGGAGTACCGCCTCTTTTTGGGCGATTTCACTCCGGCTGAGAATCGCCCCGAGTGGCCCCATAGACTTACATTCAAAGATGTTTTTTTTCGAACGGCGGGCGCTGCAATGCATTCTCTATGGCTTCCGGGAGGGCTCGCACTAACGTGCTTACGTCATCAGACGTAAGCACGTTTCAGTCAACAATATTATTTGTCGCCACCTAGTGGAATCTTTAATAAAAGAAACTGAGTGGATTGTAATAATAGTGAGTATAGAAACAAACAAGATGTATTGTAAGAGTCACTTTATTTTTCATTAATATTAAAGAAGTGAAGTTGCCTTTACATGCTTAAACTGTTAATTTATCCATTGCATGAGTGGACCTTATCCTTATCAATCATCCAGACATTTTCCCCCCCTGAGAGATTATGCAGGAGCCGCCACTGGCATGGACCATGACCGGAACTCCCGTCGTCCTCGCAGCAGTGGCTCTTGGCTAACCATCGAACAAAGGCGGCGCTCACCGCATCGCGCGCTTTTCAGATGCGCTTCTGCGGCCGTCTGGAACGCTCTTGCTTCCGATATTAGGAAGCCACTGGAGCTATGCACTTTTAAAACATCTCGATTGAAAACTCGAAATGTTTTAGAATTGTTTTTTGTGTTTGGTTTGTTGTCCTTTCCCCGCGCACTACCGATGAGCCAGGGTTGGCTACGTATGGCGCGAAAGAAGTTCAACATATATCTGCGTGGAGCTCTTGACACAGCCCCCCCCCCCCCTCGTATGCACGGTGGGTTCTCTCTCGGCTCTTCGGTTTCCTACCATGGAAAGCCAAGCACTCGTTCGCGGAATTTGGCCAGACAATTTTGCATTTTCGAAATCGCGCCTTTCACAATGTGGCATTCAAGAGCACTTTGCACACCTTTTCACCTTTTTACAGCGATGAAGGAAGACATTGAAAAGCAAAGCAAAAAGAACGGCGTTAAGGGGCACGTCGCTTGACCAAACCACGTCGCTCCGCACTCGCCGTGTCTGTCCGCACGTACCCCCACGTCACTCCACACTCGCCGTGTCTGTCCGCACGTACCCCCACGTCGCACCGATGACACTCGCCGTGTCTGTCTGCACGTACCCCCACGTCACTCCGATGACACTCGCCGTGTCTGTCCGCACGTACCCCCGCGTCACTCCGATGACACTCGCCGTGTCTGTCCGCACGTACCCCCACGTCACTCCACACTCGCCGTGTCTGTCCGCACGTACCCCCACGTCACTCCGATGACACTCGCCGTGTCTGTCCGCACGTACCCCCACGTCACTCCGATGACACTCGCCGTGTCTGTACGCACGTACCCCCACGTCACTCCGATGACACTCGCCGTGTCTGTCCGCACGTACCCCCACGTCACTCCGATGACACCCGCCGTGTCTGTCCGCACGTACCCCCACGTCACTCCGATGACACTCGCCGTGTCTGTCCGCACGTACCCCCACGTCACTCCGTGGACACTCGCCATGTATGTCTGCACGTACCACCCACGTCGCACCGCACTCGCCGTGTCTGTCCGCACGTACCCCCACGTCGCACCGAGGACACTCGTCTGACTGCACGTACCCCCACGTCGCTTTGCACCCGCCGTGTCTAACCGCACGTACCCCCACGTCGCACCGATGACACTCGCCGGGCTCACCTGACGTTCCGGTTGTAGATGTTGAAGACAAGGCACACGCATCCGAAGATGATGCCGATTCCGGCGAGGACGGAGAGGGAGATGAAGAGCTTCTGCGAGAGGTAGCGGAACTGGATGACCACCTTGGTTCGGTCGGGAGGAGGTGAGCCTCCTGGAGGTCACACGGCACACGGAGGACTTTCAGTCGGAATTCTTTATTCATCCTCGAGAAATCTCGTGAGCTACGAAGTTTTCTTCGTTTTTTTCCCCACAGGTGTCCAGTAAAGGGTCATAAAGTTAGGAGAACAACATAAAAAAAACAAGAGGGCAATCTATAAGGTAGGTAAATCACTAAGATAAATAGTATGTAACTAAAAGTATACAACTTCTTGGTTCTTTCGGTAAAGTCACGTAGAATGGAAATAATAAAATGATAAAAATAAAACATAATATTTTATAATATTATGTTTAATTTTTATTATTTTATTATTTCCATTCGGTAAAGTCACGTAGAATGGAAATAAAAAAAAACATAATATTTTATTATATAATGTAGTATTTTTATTATTTTATTATTCCCATTTTATTATTTTAATAATAAAAATATAACATAATATTTATTATATTATGTTGTATTTTTATTATTTTATTACTTCCATTCTACGTGACTTTACCGAAAGAACCAAGAAGTTGTATACTGAATGGAAATAATAAAATAATAAAAATAAAACATTATATTTTATTATATTATGTTTTATTTTTATTATTTTGTTTTATTTTTATTCTTTTATTATTTCCATTCTACGTGACTTTACCGAAAGAACCAAGAAGATGAATCCCTGCAGTCACGAAAGCTTTAAATCGAAATTTAAAAGTATAAAAGTTCAAATTTCACACCAAGACAACACACAATCCCTTAAATGAATGTTCAAATACAAATGTAAACAATGCACATTAAAACCTGAATCTGTATCTATCCTGGAGAAATCTGATGAGCTATGAAGCGCGTTCCCACAGAAACCCAATAGGCAAAATCCCCTTTTAATAAACTCTTTGGTTCATTCGGTAAAGTCACGTAGGTAGAAAAATAAAATATATATATTTTACGACGTTTCGATCGCACCGCAAGCGGTCGTCCTCAAACGGAAAAAATAATTAGAAAAACTGCTGGATAATCTTTTTTCCGGATTATTTTTTTATCCGCCTGAGGACCACTGATTGTGTTGCGATCCAAACGTCGTGATTTGTTTGAATTAATTTCTAACTACGTGACTTTACCGAAAGAACCAAAGAGTATGGAAAAAAGGATGGGGCTGGGTGGGGGGTGGGAGGGGTGGGGCTGGGTGGGGAGGGGCTGGTCACCCCGTGGTGTCCTTATAAAACTCAACGTTTAACCTACTCACGCCGGCTTGTGCCCGCTCTCATAGTCGGGCATATTTGCGGAATACACCACGCCGCCGTTGACCCTGGCAATTGACCGAGCAACCCAACGTTTCTACCAGCTCCTCCGCAGGAATGTTTCCATACTAGATTTGAAGCTTTCGTGACTGCAAGGATTCATATTCTTAGGTTTTTTCGCTAAAGTCACGTAGGTAAAACATCAAAATTATTTTATTTATTTTTATTAATTTTGATGTTTTACCTACGTGACTTTATCGAGCCAGATTTAAATCACGTTATTCCATACATAGCCACCAGGTGGCACCACTGACGCACGACATTGAGCTTGTCGATTTGAAGGCAGCCTCTTGCCTTGTTGGCAGATACGGCCCTGAAGAGTTGTGCGGCGGTGGCTTGCGCATTGCAACGAGAAAGTTCAACTCCATGTCACGGCTAGCAACAGTGGCGATTGATATCTGAATCGGTCCCACTCATGCCCCAACACCCCAAACATTTTTTCCCAGCCAGTACTGACCGGCGTGGTGCAGTATGGCCAAGCAAACACCGATTGCCAAAAAAAGGCATGTGGGGAGGCGTTCACTTAGCAGTGGGTTGAGAAAAGAGGGCTGTAATTTGTTGATGCCGAATTAGGCGCCAGCGTGCTAATTGTCAAGTGTCTGAGCCAAAGTCGAAATCAACAGATGGGATCTCTGCGGGAGCGACACTGTCGACAAATGAACTAATGATCAATGACTTGTGTAAAAAAAAAAAACCGCTCATTAAAAAAATATTGGTCACACGAGCGCAACACGTGACCCTCCCTCCCCCCCATGAGAAAATCCTTGGCTGGGTGACAACACGTGGTACACTGTTAATATTGGGGTGTTAATGGTGCATCGATAAATACAATGAAAACAATTCATTAACTCTATTGGAACCTCATTTGCCAGTAAAAATATGATAATTGGTTTTTACTCTTCTATCTGGCAACACAACTGACACCTTTTGGCGTCATCTGGTCCAACCCATGTGAGACTAGGCTCTAAGGAAAGCTGTCTCAGGTGTGGACCAATCAACTTCAAGGACAGTGCACATTATCAGAGTTATGTTTTTTGTTTGCATTATGACTGCAGGTATTGTGGTCTATGCAAACATGACTCCTTGTAACAAAGGTGTCAGTTTTGTTGCCAGATAGAAGGGTAAAAAAACAATTATCAATTCATTAACTGGCAATATGCATAGTTTTCACGATTGCTGCACCGTGCAAAAAATAAAATAAACGGACGGTATATTTTGATTTAAAGCTTTCGTGACTGCAGGGATTCATATTCTTGGTTCTTTCTGTAAAGTCACGTAGAAGGGAAATAATAAAATAATATAAATATAAAACAGTAAAAATTCTCACGACATTTCGACTGCAACACAAAAAAATTCTCACGACGTTTCGACTGCAACACAAGCAATCATCATCAGATGTGAAATCCACTTTACCGAAAGAACCAAGAATATGGACGGTATATTGTTTTACACATCCTATCAGCGTCATGGCCCTTCGGAACGGAATCATTTCAGCAGCATTGATTCAGCACACGCAAACTCTGGACCGGTTTTCGACATGAAGTGTCTCATCTGCAGAGTGCCAGAGTCAGGCGTTCTTAACTTATTCCGGTGGACTTTTTGATGTCAATAAACGAAAACCTTTTTCTAGCTATCCCTCTTAGTTTGATGGGGAATTATATCATACGTAACAGTGCTAGATGTTACGTATGAAAAGTTTACATCAGTGGTTTCCAAATGTTTGCTTGCCGTATAACTCCCTACCACAGCCACCAACTGTCCATACACAATCTATATTTCAACAAGCCATATTTTATTCAATCTTTCAATTATTCATATATGCTACATATATTAGTAGAATGACAACATTTGAGTTACATTTACAAGTAATTAACGCCTAATACATTTATTTAGCGCTTAATAACTGCATTTTTGTTTTTCGATCTGATTTGTAGCTGAATATTTGGTTCAACATTGATTTGAAGCTTTCGTGACTGCAGGAATCCATAACTCTTTGGTTCTTTCGGTACAGGCAGTCTGCCTCAGCAGCAGACCACGCTTTCCCACCTGATGATGGGACGCTTGTGTTGCGCCCGAAACGTCGTTATTTATTTGATTTTATAACTACGTGACTTTACCGAAAGAACCAAAGAGTATTTGGTTCTAGATTTGAAGCTTTCGTGACTGCAAGGATTCATACACTTAGGTTTTTTTTCGGTAAAGTCACGTAGGTAAAAATAAAATTAAAAGTTAATAAAATTAATAATGGAAATAAAATAAAATAATTAATCACGACGTTTCGGAGGCAACACAAGTCTCCGTCATCAGGTGGGACCGTCACAGCTAAAATTACTGTATTTGGTTCACCAGTCCGGTGGGACCCCTTGAGCTCTTTGGAGCTCTTAGATTTTGCCGAGTTTGCTACTGTCCAGCACCACACACACCACTGTTTTGCGAAGGCTCGGACCACACGCACACACACACGCACACACCGATCCATCGGTCCGTGTTGAGCCAGGAGAGATTGTTGTTGTTGCTGTCGTAGTACCCGATCTTCACATACTTCCCATCTAGAGCGCGCACAGACGGGCAGAATGAACGAGTCAAACACAACCGCAAACAAACGTCAACGTCTGCCGACCCGCGGTCGATTTTCCCGGCTACGGCCAAAGATCAGTGTGCGAGTGATATTCAAACCGGTCCTGGTCAACCCGCCGCCCCCCGCTTCACCAGCTCACACCGGTGAGTGTGGTGAAGTATCAAGTTCAAGTTCATTTATTAGGTATAGCCCTATGAGCCATTCGGCACGTGAATCGGGTGCAACCGCAACAAACAAAAAAACATGAAAAAAAACATCTTAAAGTGACTATGTGACTAAGTGCAAACAGAAAATCCAAGAAAAGACAGCAAAATATTGCAGAAAAAAACACCGCACACCAACGCGGTGTGCAAAAATCCTAGTGGGATGTAAGTCAAACAACAAAAACAACAACAACCACAAGACAACTTAGATTAAGGCCATCAGTCTAACTCTGTACTACAACAAACAAACATGGCTAAACCAACACAGCCAAACCAAGTATGGTCAAACAACTCGTATAACCAGCATGTGGAGACCTTCATCCAACAGTGGATCGGCAAGGTCTGCCAATAATAAATCATAGTCACCATAATATAGGTTTTTGAGTCAGATCGCGTTATTTATAAATGTGGCGTAACCCTCCACCACCCGACACGGCCAAACAGTAAAAAATGTGTCACGTTTTCAAAGGACAAAATAATTGACTTCTTTAGCCCACCGGTGTGCTGAAGAGAGAATCAACAGCATTTTTAAATTTGAGTAGTTCGACGTTTCACTGATAATTACAATCAGCTTCATCGGGCAAAAATGGTGAAGCTCTCCTGTTGCTTCCGTTCTTAAATAGAGCAGCCTCAGGGTGACGTCATCATTTAATTCAATTCAGTCTGGTGCAGTGATTAAAATGCGTCGTACTCAAATTTAAAATGCTGTTGATCCTCTCTTCAGCACACCGGTGGGCTAAAGAAGTGAATTATTTTGTCCTTTGAAAACGTGACACCTTTTTTACTGTTTGGCCGTGTCGGGTGGTGGAGGGTTACGACACATTTACAAATAACGCGATCTGACCCAAAAACCTATATTATTAACAATATTGGTCGCGAAAGCCTACACGTGTTAAATTGATCATAGCTGCCCAAGCGATGCAGAGGTAGAGACTGTGGCTCGCAAAAACTCCACGAGTTAAAATCACGATTATATTATTAATCCGTTTCCCACTCCGAGATGTGTGTAAATTTCAGGGTGGCTCCCGTTGATTTTATTTAGAGAGGCGTAGAAGCGCCGCTGTATTTAAAGACATCGTTACTCACCGCATAGGGTTGTAGCAACACGACCGCAACTCTATGGTAGCTGGTGCCAAACTGTGTCACATGCCCTCCCGCATGGCCTTGCGGGAGCCTCGGTGTACCGATAAAGTTATTTTATTTTAGTTTTTCTTACGATTCCGTTCTGATGACATACACGCATAGTACGTCATCAGCATGGAATCGGACAAAAAACTGATGGAATGGAAAAGGGTTAAAATTCCACGTATTTACACAGAAACCTCACCGAGTCTCAAATATTTTTCAGGAGGGGCCTGCCAAATTTTCACATTCGGGGAAATGTTGCTTTGTGTAATTTCAATGGAGTAATTTGGGAGGAATTTTTTTTATTTCGCATTGGGGATGTTTATCAAATACCTGTTTACATTGTATGATTGTTGTTATTTTTATATTTTTTTAGCTAAGGGAGGAAACTGGAGAAAGGGCGGCAGTAAATACACACTCCACACAGGAAGGTGTCTGAGTCGGGAATCGAACCCATGGACTTCTTGGTGCGAGGCACACGTGCAACCAACCTGCCACCCGATTGATCGATCAGGGTTCGACTCTGCCCTTTTTAACCTTCCAGAAAGTCAATAAACTGAGTACAGCTCCTGTCATCATTACTGTAAAGTTCTACAAATTCCCACCGCCGTAGATATTACCTGGATCAACCTTGCAAACGTGGCTTATCATCAATAATTCACATTTGTAAAGTGGCGCGTGCCATCCGTAGATCACAACGCGCCATTGTGTATGGAAAGCCAGGAAATAAACAGGGCCTGCACAGGGTAATCGGCCAGAACTAGGCGGTGAAGAAGGCCAATTTAGAGAGGTGAGTTTTCAAGACAGAGACGTCAATAGCTCTCACGACTCTGATGGCATTATTAGCAAAGACAAAGTGTTATTCCAAAGCCTGGGAACTGCACGGTCACCCCTGCAGGAACAGAGGCTTGCCCTCGGAGTACTTATGCAATATGAGGATGCACCCGGGGGTAACTGGGCGATGGTGATAGGCTCTGCCGGACTCAGCCTGCAGCCAATGGGACGTCGAGCCAGGGGCGTAGCCCTGTGGCTGCATAGCAACATCTAGAATGTTCCAGGGGTGAGGCTGATGATTGGCTGCGTGGCATCACGTGAGCCAGGTTTTATAAGGAGTGGAAAGAGACAGCTCAGGGTCAGTGTGGAGAGGTTTGAGGAGAAACCACGTCTGTGCCTCAGGCACGCCAACGGCCACGTGGCAGGCCGGAGGCTATCTCCCGAACGCCGTTAGCCAGCGGCGTGGGGGGGAGAGGGAAGCGAGCGAATGCCATGCTCGGGTAACGGGAGTAACGGGAAAAAAGGAACCCAGAGATGTGAGAGAAAGCTGTGTAACGAAGAACGAATAAAGACAAGACACGAAAATACGATATCGTCCGGAGTGGGTTTATTACACTTATACTCTTAGTTTTTTCTATAAAGTCACGTAGGTAAAAAATGAAATGAAAATTAATGAAAGTAATAATAGAAATAAAATAATAAAACATCACGACGTTTCGGAGGCAACACAAGTCTCCGTCATCAGGTGGGATCGTCACAGCCAGATTTGCTGTATCAAGTGAGGCAGGGATTCCAAGATGCAAGTTCTTAAATACAAGTTAAGGGAGAGGAGGGGGGGGAGCTTATCAGAAGAGACTTGTGTTGCCTCCGAAACGTCGTGATTTATTATTATTTTATTTCTATTACTTTTATTAATTTGAATTTCAATTTTTTACCTACGTGACTTTACCGAAAAAACTAGAGTATGAATCCTTGCAGTCACCAAAGCTTCAAATGTAGAATTATTACACTTAACAGAAGGAGATCCGAAGATCTCAGGGTGCAAGAGAGTTCGGAGTGAACCCGCAGTGGTGCCCCCCCTCACCTTGAAGCTGCTCTATCAGAGTCCAGGCCATTCTCGCGCCGCTTGCGTCAAACACCACGTGGCCCTGTGTTGCAAGCAGGGAATGTTAAAAGACGGAATGTACGTTCACAAACGTTTCGGCACAACACAACATGCAATGTAATCCCGATCACGATATCGGCATCGTGTCACTAGGCGGTTAAATCCTCTTGCTGAGCAGCGCCGTCGCCCCCCCCCCCCCCCACCACCGTGAATGGTCCATGGAAGGTGATGTCAGAGAACTAAATCTGAGATGCCGTCGAATGACCTTGACGTTCCGCAGAAGGTGATGTGACAGAACTAAATCTGAGACGTCGTCGAATGACCTTGACGCTCCGTGGAAGATGATGTCACAGAACTAAATCTGAGATGCCGTCGAGTGACCTTGACGCTCCACGGAAGGTGATGTGACAGAACTAAATCTGAGATGCCGTCGAGTGACCTTGACGCTCCACGGAAGGTGATGTGACAGAACTAAATCTGAGATGCCGTCGAGTGACCTTGACGCTCCGTGGAAGGTGATGTGACAGAACTAAATCTGAGACGCCGTCGAGTGACCTTGACGCTCCACGGAAGGTGATGTCACAGAACTAAATCTGAGATGCCGTCGAGTGACCTTGACGCTCCGTGGAAGATGATGTCACAGAACTAAATCTGAGACGCCGTCGAATGACCTTGACGTTCCGTGGAAGGTGATGTCACAGAACTAAATCTGAGACGTCGTAAAGTGACCTTGACGTTCCGTGGAAGGTGATGTCAGAGAACTAAATCTGAGATGCTGTCGAATGACCTTGACGCTCCGTGGAAGGTGATGTCACAGAACTAAATCTGAGATGCCGTCGCGAGACCTTAACGTTCCGCGGAAGGCGGTGTCACAGTGACCTCGACGGCATCGGAACGTGCATTTAGTATTTGGCTGCTGTAAATTTCCATGTGATAAGTCAAACTTCGTTGAGATATCATTTGTGACAGCCAAGTCACTTCTGAAAGAAAGCTATATTTAGCTCGGTGGTATAATTTAAAATAGTTTAGCCGAGTAGTGCTCGAGAAGGAGACTGTCGCGGGACTGGATGCCTATCAACCCCTTATCGGTGCCCTACCTAATTACAGACCAATTCAAACCTTGTCGGTCACCCCGTGCCCCTTATCAATGTCAATGTTCATCCTACAAAGTCCCATCACAAGGGAGAAACACAAACAAATAGACAGAAAAAAATTGCCCGTATTGAAACGGCTGTACGCCGTATGGACCTAAAACTAAATTTCCCTGTACAAGAATACGGCGTAAACCGTATGGGTTGACAGCTGTGGGACTGGTTTCATCGGCAGTGGTGGAGCGACTCGTTTACCGAAACGCCGTCGAACGAGGACGAGTTGAGCGCTTTGTAGATCTCGTTGGTGATCGTGTTGTCGGAGTAGTTGAAATCCTCCAGCCGCATCCCTGCAGGCGCCAGACCCGACACCGAGGTGACCACCATCGCCACCAACAAAACAAACAAAGATTCACCCCCCCCCCCCAAACCCCCGTGCAGCCTTAACAAACTTTCGGGGCAAGTGCTGTTAGCGAGCAGCGGCTATGAAGGCCGACGATGTTTTACACAACGCACTCATTTTGAGGCTGAGTCGACCTAGGAGAGTCCCAGAACAGGTTCAGATGACCGTGATTCGAACGCAATCGAAGGGAGATCCGAGAAACCACAGCCAGGCAAAACAAAAAAAATATCCCCCAAGCTCTGTGATCCTCTATATATTAAGGTGTTATCGGTCATTTAAGGAATGTTTTTTATACACGTGGGAGGAAATCGGAGCACCCAAAAGGAAACCCACGCATAGGAGGGGCCAACGCTCTATCCTTTACAGACGGGACAGATTGAGATTAGTCTACACTTGCTGTACTGCCTTCTGCTGGAGAGCCACGGTAATGCAATCTTGATGCACGTGGAAGGAAAGATTCCCAACATTTTCGTGATCCACCGACGCCTCGCTGGATTCGGGGCTATGTGCGTAGCCACCACCCAACGGCCACCACCACAACGAGTAGAAACGTGCGTTTAAGAGTATTTGGCTGCTAGAAATATCCACGTGGTAAGCCACTTCGTTGAGCTATCATTTGTGGCCGAGGCCGCTTCTGAAAAGGAGCTTTATAGCTCAGTGGGCTTTACCTGGTAAAATTAAAAACAGTTCATAGTTTTTTGTCAAGGCGCCCTTCCTCCCCTAACCCAGCTTAAATATACGCTGCCAAGCTTGGTGGTGTTCATTCAGACGCTATCTTTCCGACAGACCTGTTCTTCACCTGAGGACGGCTGCTTGCGTCGTGGCCGAAACGTCGTGAGAATTGTATTTTATTACGTTTTATTTTATTATTTTATTAATTCCCTTCTACGTGACTTTACCGAAAGAACCAAGAAGATGAGTTTATAGTTTGTTTTAGAGTACTCGACAGAAGCTCCGGGTGGCACACCTTTCTTCGCGAGCTCCTGAGCTGTCTTGTTCAGGGCCAGTGCCAATGCCCAGATGGCGTCGTAGGCCAATGGGGCCTCCTGGAAGCCTCCCGTCTCCTCCGGAGTCTTGGTGAGGTTCTTCACCAGGCGACTGATGAACTCGTCCGACGTCTGCAAGGGAGAGTCGCGAGAGACTTAGGGCAGCAGCTTCCCGCAGTGCGACAACAGAGTGGCGGCCATCAATAGGCCCCAGCGGGGCCGGGCCTCCACTAGGCCCGATTGATGGCCGCCACACGGTCGCTAGTAGGAGCCGGGCCGGGCCTTACTAGCGAACATGTTTGAGACATCTTCTTGGTTCTTTCGGTAAAGTCACGTAGAAGGGAAGTAATAAAATAATAAAAATAAAACATAATAAAATTATTCTCACGACGTTTTGGCCACAACGCAAGCAGCCGTCCTCAGGTGAAAACCATTCAGACGCTGTCGCCTCGACGGACCTGGTCTTCACCTGAGGACGGCTGCTTGCGCTGTGGCCGAAACGTCGTGAGAATTATTTAATTATGTTTTATTTTTATTATTTTATTACTTCCCTTCTACGTGACTTTACCGAAAGAACCAAGAAGATGAATCCCTGCAGTCACGAAAGCTTTAAATCAAAATGTTTGAGACATTTCCACATTTCGGTATGAGACACACGCACTCATCTACTCCGTCAGTGGAAGATTAAAAAAAGCAGCCCAAACGCTGTCACCGTGGAAGAGTAACAAACGATGGGCCACACCTCGTCTATTTGCGTGCCTCTCCCGCTCATTCGGAGGAGGTAAACAAGCCGTCCCACAGCCTCACCCCAGAGGCCCTGGGCCTGGCTGTGACAAAAAACCTTTGGCAACTTGCCGCTGCCCTACAATAAGTCTGCGATTCTCCAGCAAACCACACGGCAGAAGAAGCACACAACACTCGGGTGGCGAGATGTGAACTACCTCGTCTGGTATACAGTAGATCGTGGGTTCATGGGTTCGATTCAGACCCTGACACGTGTTTATTTGGAGTTGGTACGTTCTAACCGTGGTCAAGTGGATTTTTCTCAGGGTCCTCCGGTTTTTCCCTCCACGTTTAGAAACATGCGTTTTGGAGTATTTGGCTGCTATACATTTCCACGCGATAAGCAACTTCGTTTAACAATAATTCGTGATAGCCAGACCGCTTCTGGCAACGTAAAACATTATTTAGTTTATAGTTTAGTTCACGCTGTTACCATGTTCGAGACGCCGCGGGTGTTGGCCAGGTCGACCATGAGGATCTCAGTGGTGACCTGACCCTCGACAGCCTCCTGCATCTGCTCGGCCGTGCAGTTGATGGCCAGGTCGGGCTTGAGGTACCACTTGTCGGCGTACCAGCCGATGATGAACCACACGTGCTTCTTGCCGTAGAGCTTCTCTTTGTAGACCTGCATTGCGGCGCGCACACACACGGGGCTCATCGGCGTTGCCACCTCCCGAGGTACGGGTAAGGCCGACACGTATCACGGGCAGATGACCATCTCGAGACACCAAATAGCGATTCGGCTCGATGTTAACTCGCCGCACGGAAAATGCCGCGTTCGCTCGTTAACCGGTTTGAAAAAGGGAGATCCGTTGGCGCATCGGCACAGAGCAAGAACATTGTCAGAGCGGTCCCCTACGGAGGAACAGACAACGTCGGAACAGAACGAGACAAAGGCACATGCAAAAAAAAACGTGTAACCAACTATAATTAACAACATCAACTATAGTGTTCTTGGTTCTTTCGGTAAAGTCACGTAGAAGGGATGTAATAAAATAATAAAAATATAAAACAATAACATTCTCACAACGTTTCGACTGCAACACAAGCAATCATCATCAGGTGTGAAATACACAGCAAGAAAATGTTCTTACTTCATCCACAGCAAGAACATTTTCTTGCTGTGGTTTTCACACCTGATCATTATTGCTTGTGTTGCAGTCGAAACGTCGTGAGAATTTTATTGTTTTATATTTTTATTATTTCATTGTTTCCCTTCTACGTGACTTTACCGAAAGAACCAAGAATATGAATCCCTGCAGTCACGAAAGCTTTAAATCAAAATCAACTATAGTGTTTGAGCAACCTGCTCGTCCTTCGGACGTGACCGCATATTTATCCCTCCCAGTCAGCCAGCAAAGTGTTTTTTAACTGATATAGAGCCCTGTCTCTCTCCACCTTTCTTGAGCCTTCTCTCTATTGTATAACCTCGCAGCTCTGATTATCACGGTAGGCTACATACGGTGCGAGAGAAGTTCAACATACATACACACTGCACATAGACTCAACACTGCCCATAGACTCAACACTACCCATAGACTCAACACTTCACCATAGACACAACTCTACCCATAGACTCAACACTGCACATAGACTCAACACTGCCCATAGACTCAACACTATCCATAGACTCAACAATGCCCATAGACTCAACACTTCACCATAGACTCAACACTGCCCATAGACTCAACACTGCCCATAGACTCAACACTGCACCGTAGACTCAACACTGCCCATAGACTCAACACTGCCCATAGACTCAACACTAACCCATAGACTCAACATTGCCCATAGACTCAACACTACCCATAGACTCAACACTTCCCATAGACTCAACACTGCCCATAGACTCAACACTAAACCATAGACTCAACACTACCCATAGACTCAACACTTCCCATAGACTCAACACTAACCCATAGACTCAACACTACCCATAGACTCAACACTTCCCATAGACTCAACACTGCCCATAGACTCAACACTGCCCATAGGCTCAACACTGCCCATAGACTCAACACTAACCCATAGACTCAACACTACCCATAGACTCAACACTTCCCATAGACTCAACACTGCCCATAGACTCAACACTAACCCATAGACTCAACACTGCCCATAGACTCAACACTTCTCATAGACTCAACACTGCCCATAGACTCAACACTAACCCATAGACTCAACACAACCCATAGACTCAACACTTCCCATAGACTCAACACTGCCCATAGACTCAACACTAACCCATAGACTCAACACTACCCATAGACTCAACACTTCCCATAGACTCAACACTGCCCATAGACTCAACACTGCCCATAGACTTAACACTGCCCATAGACTCAACACTAACCCATAGACTCAACACTACCCATAGACTCAACACTTCCCATAGACTCAACACTGCCCATAGACTCAACACTAACCAATAGACTCAACACTACCCATAGACTCAACACTTCCCATAGACTCAACACTGCCCATAGACTCAACACTGCCCATAGACTCAACACTGCCCATAGACTCAGCACTACCCATAGACTCAACACTGCCCATAGACTCAACACTAACCCATAGACTCAACACTACCCATAGACTCAACACTGCCCATAGACTCAACACTGCCCATAGACTCAACACTGCCCATAGACTCAGCACTACCCATAGACTCACACTGCCCATAGACTCAGCACTACCCATAGACTCAACACTGCCCACAGACTCAACACTACCCATAGACTCAGCACTACCCATAGACTCAACACTACCCATAGACTCAGCACTACCCATAGACTCAACACTGCCCACAGACTCAACACTACCCATAGACTCAACACTGCCCATAGACTCAACACTAACCCATAGACTCAACACTGCCCGTAGACTCAACACTACCCATAGACTCAACACTGCCCATAGACTCAACACTAACCCATAGACTCAACACTGCCCATAGACTCAACACTAACCCATAGACTCAACACTGCCCATAGACTCAACACTGCCCATAGACTCAACACTAACCCATAGACTCAACACTGCCCATAGACTCAACACTACCCATAGACTCAACACTGCCCATAGACTCAACACTAACCCATAGACTCAACACTGCCCATAGACTCAACACTAACCCATAGACTCAACACTGCCCATAGACTCAACACTTCCCATAGACTCAACACTGCCCATAGACTCAACACTAACCCATAGACTCAACACTACCCATAGACTCAACACTTCCCATAGACTCAACACTGCCCATAGACTCAACACTGCCCATAGACTTAACACTGCCCATAGACTCAACACTAACCCATAGACTCAACACTACCCATAGACTCAACACTTCCCATAGACTCAACACTGCCCATAGACTCAACACTAACCAATAGACTCAACACTACCCATAGACTCAACACTTCCCATAGACTCAACACTGCCCATAGACTCAACACTGCCCATAGACTCAACACTGCCCATAGACTCAGCACTACCCATAGACTCAACACTGCCCATAGACTCAACACTAACCCATAGACTCAACACTACCCATAGACTCAACACTGCCCATAGACTCAACACTGCCCATAGACTCAACACTGCCCATAGACTCAGCACTACCCATAGACTCAACACTGCCCATAGACTCAGCACTACCCATAGACTCAACACTGCCCACAGACTCAACACTACCCATAGACTCAGCACTACCCATAGACTCAACACTACCCATAGACTCAGCACTACCCATAGACTCAACACTGCCCACGACTCAACACTACCCATAGACTCAACACTGCCCATAGACTCAACACTAACCCATAGACTCAACACTGCCCTAGACTCAACACTACCCATAGACTCAACACTGCCCATAGACTCAACACTAACCCATAGACTCAACACTGCCCATAGACTCAACACTGAACCCATAGACTCAACACTGCACCCATAGACTCAACACTGCCCATAGACTCAACACTACCCATAGACTCAACACTGCCCATAGACTAACACTAACCATAGACTCAACACTGCCCATAGACTCAACACTAACCCATAGACTCAACACTGCCCATAGACTCAACACTGCCCATAGACTCAACACTGCCCATAGACTCAACACTGCCCATAACTCAACACTAACCCATAGACTCAACACTGCCCATAGGACTCAACCACTACCCATAGACTCACCAACACTGCCCATAGACTCAACACTAACCCATAGACTCAAGCACTGCCCATATACTCAACACTACCCATAGACTCAAACACTGCCCGCATAGGAGCGCAACACATGCCCATAGACTCAACACTCTAACCCATAGACGCAACACTACCCGTAGACTCAACACTGGCCCATGAGACTCAACACTGCCCATAGACTCAACACTGCACCATAGACTCAACACTGCCCATAGACTCAACACTGCCCCATAGACTCAACAACTGCCCATAGACTCAAACACTGCCCATAGACTCAACCTGCCCATAGACTCAACACTGCACCATAGACTCAACCTGCCCATAACTCAACACTGCCCATAGTCCTCGACACTACCCATAGACGCAAACAACTGCCATTAGACTCAACACTAACCCATAGACGCTACACTAGCCCATAGACTCAACACTCTGCCCATAGACTCAACACGGCCTCATAGACTCACACACTAACCATAAAAAGACTCATAGACTCAACACTGCCCATAAGACTCAACACGAACCCATAGAACTCAAACACGGCCCATAGACTCAACATTAAACCCATAGACTCAACATTAGACCCATAGACTCAACATTAAGCCCATAGACTCAACATTAAACCCATAGACTCAACACTGCCCATAGACTCAACACTACCCAGAGACTCAACACTGCCCATAGACTCAACACTAACCCATAGACTCAACACTGCCCATAGAACTCAACCTCAACCCATAGACTCAACACTCCCCATAGACTCAACACTGCCCATAGACTCAACACTAACCCATAGACTCAACACTGCCCAATAGACTCAACACTACCCATAGACTCAAACACTGCCCATAGACTCAACACTAACCATAGACTCAACACTGCCCATAGACTCCACACTACCCATAGACTCAACACTACCCATAGAACTCACACTTCACCATAGACTCAACACTTCACCATAGACTCAACTCTACCCATAGACTCAACACTGCACATAGACTCAACAACTGCCCATGGACTCAACATATCCATAGACTAACATGCCCATAGACTCACACTTCACCATAGACTCAACACTGCCCATAGACTCAACACTGCCCATAGACTCAACACTGCACCGTAGACTCCAACACTGCCCATAGACTCACACTGCCCATAGACTCAACACTAACCCATAGACTCAACATTGCCCATAGACTCAACACTACCCATAGACTCAACACTTCCCATAACTCACACTGCCCATAGACTCAACACTAAACCATAGACTCAACACTACCCATAGACTCAACACTTCCCATAGACTCACACTGCCCTAGACTCAACACTACCCATAGACTCAACACTACCCATAGACCACACTTCCCATAGACTCAACACTGCCCATAGACTCACACACTGCCCATAGACTCACACTGCCCATAGACTCAACACTAACCCATAGACTCAACACTACCCATAGACTCAACACTTCCCATAGCTCAACACTGCCCATAGACTCACACTAACCCAATAGACTCAACACGGCCAATAGACTCAGCACTTCTCATAGACTCAACACTGCCCATAGACTCAACACTAACCCATAGACTCAACACTGCCCATAGACTTAACACTGCCCATAGACTCAACACTAACCCATAGACTCAACACTACCCATAGACTCAACACTTCCCATAGACTCAACACTGCCCATAGACTCAACACTAACCAATAGACTCAACACTACCCATAGACTCAACACTTCCCATAGACTCAACACTGCCCATAGACTCAACACTGCCCATAGACTCAACACTGCCCATAGACTCAGCACTACCCATAGACTCAACACTGCCCATAGACTCAACACTAACCCATAGACTCAACACTACCCATAGACTCAACACTGCCCATAGACTCAACACTGCCCATAGACTCAACACTGCCCATAGACTCAGCACTACCCATAGACTCAACACTGCCCATAGACTCAGCACTACCCATAGACTCAACACTGCCCACAGACTCAACACTACCCATAGACTCAGCACTACCCATAGACTCAACACTACCCATAGACTCAGCACTACCCATAGACTCAACACTGCCCACAGACTCAACACTACCCATAGACTCAACACTGCCCATAGACTCAACACTAACCCATAGACTCAACACTGCCCGTAGACTCAACACTACCCATAGACTCAACACTGCCCATAGACTCAACACTAACCCATAGACTCAACACTGCCCATAGACTCAACACTAACCCATAGACTCAACACTGCCCATAGACTCAACACTGCCCATAGACTCAACACTAACCCATAGACTCAACACTGCCCATAGACTCAACACTACCCATAGACTCAACACTGCCCATAGACTCAACACTAACCCATAGACTCAACACTGCCCATAGACTCAACACTAACCCATAGACTCAACACTGCCCATAGACTCAACACTGCCCATAGACTCAACACTAACCCATAGACTCAACACTGCCCATAGACTCAACACTACCCATAGACTCAACACTGCCCCATAGACTCAACACTACCCGTAGACTCAACACTGCCCATAGACTCAACACTGCCCATAGACTCAACACTGCCCATAGACTCAACACTGCCCATAGACTCAACACTGCCCAACTGCCCACTGCCCATAGACTCAACCACTGCCCATAGACTCACACTGCCCTAGACTCAACACTGCCCATAGACTCAACACTGCCCATAGACTCAACACTGCCCATAGACTCAACACTACCCATAGACTCAACACTGCCCATAGACTCAACACTAACCCATAGACTCAACACTGCCCATAGACTCACACTGCCCATAGACTCAACACTGCCCATAGACTCAACACTAACCCATAGACTCAACACTGCCCATAGACTCAACACTAACCCATAGACTCAACACTGCCCATAGACTCAACTGCCCATAGACTCAACACTAACCCATAGACTCAACACTGCCCATAGACTCAACACTACCCATAGACTCAACACTGCCCATAGACTCAACACTAACCCATAGACTCACACTGCCCATAGACTCAACAACCCATAGACTCAACACTGCCCATAGACTCAACACTGCCCATAGACTCAACACTGCCCCATAGACTCAACACTGCCATAACCACCATAGACTCAACACTGCCCATAGACTCAACACTACCCATAGACTCAACAATGCCCATAGACTCACCACTAACCATAGACTCAACACTACCCATAGACTCAACACTGCCCATAGACTCAACACTACCCATAGACTCAACACTAGCCCATAGACTCAACACTACCCATAGACTCAACACTGCCCCATAGACTCAACACTACCATAGACTCAACACTGCCCATAGACTCAACACTACCCATAGACTCAACACTGCCCATAGACTCAACACTGACCACTAGACTCAACACTGCCCATAGACTCAACACTGCCCATAGACTCAACACTGCCCATAGACTCAACACTGCCCATAGACTCAACACTGCCCCATAGACTCAACACTGCCCATAGACTCAACACTAACCCATAGACTCAACACTACCCATAGACTCAACACTACCCATAGACTCAACACTGCCCATAGACTCAACACTGCCCATAGACTCAACACTACCCCATAGACTCAACACCCATAGACTCAACACTGCCCATAGACTCAACACTGCCCATAGACTCAACACTGCCCATAGACTCAACACTGCCCATAGACTCAACACTGCCCATAGACTCAACACTGCCCATAGACTCAACACTGCCCATAGACTCAACACTGCCCATAGACTCAACACTACCCATAGACTCAACACTGCCCATAGACTCAACACTAACCCATAGACTCAACACTGCCCATAGACTCAACACTGCCCATAGACTCAACACTGCCCATAGACTCAACACTGCCCATAGACTCAACACTGCCCATAGACTCAACACTGCCCATAGACTCAACACTACCCATAGACTCAACACTGCCCATAGACTCAACACTGCCCATAGACTCAACACTGCACCTCCGATTAGAACTGTAGGCCACGTACGGTGCGAAAGAAGTTCAACATCCATCCATAGAGGTGCGGTAGCGAGAGAGTCATTGTGAATTCCAGACCGTGGGGAACCGCAGCAGAGGACGGGGCACCTCTCACGCGAAACTAAACCGGCGAGCGTCACTCACCTGACAGAACACCTTGCGCGCTTCCGTCTCGTAAAAGAGCCCGACGATAATCCTGGCATCCTGACGCTGAAAAGCAACAAAAGCGTGTCGGTAACGTACGCGTGTATGCTCAACTTCTATCGCGCCGTACGCGACCCAACCGTGCTCATCGGAGGCGTTCATCGGTAACGCGAGAGGGTTCCCTCGTTTGGTCGGGCGGCGAACGCGGCCCGGGCGGCGGGGGTAGTGCGACCGGTCACGTGCCGCAGAGGCTCGCGGCTCGGCTCCGGTAGGCAGCCCTGGTCAATGCCGCGGGGTGAAGTAACTGTAAAATACTACTCGCCGTCTGCTTCACAGTGGATGCTAAAGATCGCACCGACGTCGTTCGAAACGACGTGGGTTTTCGTGCGACGGCACCTCCGGTTGGCTAGGTGCGGCGCGAAAGAAGCGAAACGTACATGCATGCACACGTACGGCGTCACGGTCTACATTTGCTAAATTTGAAGCATTTAAAACCTAAAGTTGCTCAGTTGGGATCGCACATAGCAGCAATCCTCGCACTTTACTGGCGGACTGCAAAGGGACAGCTGCCACTTGGGGGGGGGGGCGGTAGCGGCCTTTTAAATAATTGGAACCTCATTTGCCAGTAAAAAATATGATAATAGTTTTTTTTACCAATTTCTCTGGCAACAAAACTGACACCTTTTGGCGTCATCTGGTCCAACACCATGTGAGACTAGGCTCTAAGGAAAGCTGTCTCGGGTGTGGACCAATCAACTTCAAGGACAGTGCATACATTATCAGAGTTGTGTTTGCATTATGACTGCAGGTATTGTGGTCTATGCAAACATGACTCCTTGTAAATGTTTGAGATGTGGTGCAAGCCGCCGCCGTCACGTGTAAAGCGCTCTGAAATGCCCCGGCGTAGAGAGCGGCTCTATCGAATCGTTCTCATTGCTGTCGCACGATCGTTTCCGAAAGCAAAGTAAAAGCTGTTACTCGGTAGGGTTTCTGTTCAAGTAACTTCAACTGAGTCCTCATTTTTGAAGCTCAAGACAACGGAGGAACTAGCTACGAGAATAGAAGCAAAAAGCAGATGCAATTCATACTCTTAGGTTTTTTCGATAAAGTCACGTAGGTAAAAATAAATAATAAAGTAATAGCAAATATTCTTTTATTGTAATCACAGCTGTGACGGTCCCACCTCATGACGGAGACTTGTGTTGCCTCCGAAACGTGGTCGATTTATTATTTTATTTCTATTATTATTATCATTAGTTTATTATTTTCTTTACCTACGTGACTTTACCGAAAAAAACTAAGAGTATGAATCCTTGCAGTCACGAAAGCTTCAAGTCTAGATGTAAATCAGCCACCGTTATTTTGATTTCTTCCGTATGTGTGTTGAACTTCTTTCTCACTGCACGTAGCCAACCGTGATCATTGTCGTCTTTTCACCAGTTTCATTTCGGCTGTGCCATCGGCATCGTGTCATCAGCTCGTCACAAAATAGATCACCAGGAGGGAGATATCACCGACCAATTTCTCAGATACCTTCCGGTGACCTCATCCACACTTACTGGGAAACTGAACGCTCCAATGCAGCCCGATAAACAGACATGTTCGTTGCATGGCGGCAAAACCCAATCGTGTAATTCTCCAGAGCTGCAGTTGTGCCAATTTAAAGTGAAAAATTCAAATTGAACGGTGAAATCTTTTTTGTGCGGTCACTGGTGGCCAGCCTGGGACCATCAACTCACTACTCCACCTGAGAAGTCGCTTTAATCATCGGTAGATGAAACATGGATTCTAACCTACGGTCCCCTGCGGTGGCGGCTCAAGAGCCCTGACCCTGCCCGCATCCCTCGCGATAAAGATTTCGAGAAACATCGTTCGCTGAATTTTTAAATCCTTTATATTAAGTTCGCTTGCTTGCTTGCTTGCGTGCTTGCTTGCTTGCTTACGACCGTGCAAACCTTTCGGTCGTTTTTAACCCACTTCCCGTGGATCAATCGAGCTTACATTTTGCACACAGACTCGTTGTGCGAGACAATTAATGTTCGTGAAAATGTTTTTTCCAAAATTTTACACTGTTTAGGGAAAACAAATTAAATATTTAATTACCAATTGCTTAATGGTGGCAGACAATCATCTGACCCATAGGTGGCAGCCATCTCAAGCCAGAGGACGAGAGGACTCTAGCCGCCACGCATATAAAGGATTTATAGTGAAAAACTTTGTTTTTACGGGTTATACTTGTTTCATTCGAATCTCACGACTGCCCCGCAAGGGGAGAGCGCACCAGACCGTTTGATGGAACGGCCCGTCAGCCACGGCAACCGAGCTTAAACGCATGGGACATGAACCAACCGTACGGCGGTAAATATAAAGATTTAATGCGGCGTCATAAACATCATAATCACCATTGTTGCCGTGGGATTAGCTTGACGGGGGGGGGGGGGGGAAGGGTGGCGGGGGACCAGAAGTGTCGCGGTTTGATTAATTGTATTTTGTTTTTCGCGCTCGGCTCTGTTACCTGGGGAGGAGGGCCCCCACCTGTTCTCTGCATGCACGTGGTGACAATTTAGCGACGAGCGAAAATTGTCGCGTTTCATCTGGAGTCACTTTACCCAACCGCGCACTTCCCCTAAATACTCGAGATGCAGGTAAAACAAAAATGACGCCGCTATCGTCTCTGTCCCTGTGAGCCGCGTCCTTTCTCGAAGACGCTGGCGATGACGGCCTCCAATCCAATTTCCAGGATCTTAAACACCCAAGAAAGAAAGGTGGCAAGGTTGCAACAATGCATCGAGGCAGAGGGCTTGTGGGTGTGTCCCATGATGCTTTGCAACAATGTTTCATCTTGTTGTGTATTGTTTATCAATGTCGTTGCCAATGACGGAAATGTCACCGGTTGCAAGGTGTGCACAGTAAGAATGCGGAATGGAGGTACGAGGCTGCATTTGGCCAACGATGTTGCCGTGCATTCGTCCACATTTGTCGGTGGGTATTGCTCGTCTGGGAGTGGCAAGCGACGGTGATGGAACGTGTCCCGGGGTGGTTACGTCCACGGTGTAGACGTAGCGACGAAATCGGTTTAATGCGCACGGTCGAGAGCACTGGACTGCGAGGAACGTGCTAGCAAGATTATTACATTGCAGGACGGTGAGTGGTGGTAGTGGCGGTGGCTTGTATATATGTTTAACGTCTTTCGCACCTGTACGTAGCCAACCATGCTAATCGGAGGTGCGCAGGCGGCTCGGGGAGGCATTCATCCAGCAGCGGATTAACCATGGCCGATGATGATGTGTGGTCGTCTGATCTCGATCCAAGTGGCTTCTCCAGACTTAATTATCTCCGCCAAAGCCAATCGCGCCTCTAATCCTCGAGTGAGGATTAACACACAGCGGGCCTTGCTTCAGTTCGATTGACTTGGAGGCACGAGAAGGCGTAAAAAAATCAATCCCGCGCTGTTAAAGAGAGATAAAAACATTTTGTCTGTACAGCCACAGCCTGGTTTACGAAGGGATCTCGGGTTTAATTAATATTGGGACATTTAGCGAACGCCGCAGGATGGGAGCTTCGCAGGATTGCAAATACCTTGAGCGAGAAAGACTTCTAACCGACCCCCCCCCCCGCCGCCGCCTTTCGTGCTCTACAATAAATGAGTAATACGTAGTAGGCTTTCGCGCCCAATACTATCCATAATAATAAATGTTTTTTTTTGGGTTAGATCGCATAATTATAAATGGTCACGTTTGTCACGTGAACAAAACGTGCCAATTGGTCACGACTCCAGCACACCGGCGTGTTGGAGAGTCAACCCGCAACATTTACAATTTGGGCGATTTTGCCAAATTTGTTTCAAGAAGTCTTCTTGTTTCTTGTCTTAAATCGAGTTAAAAGGGATGTCATCACCGTGAGCCCATCAGGAGCGAAGACCAGATAGGGGTTAAACGAAAAGGCGAATAAGGATGCCGCAGCTGCCGCCACCACCACGGAGTAACGGTTAGCCCCCTCTGGGCTTAGAACGCGGCGTTCAAGCGACCGTAATCGCAGCTGGGCAGGCAAGCACGATTGGCTCGCAGCTACGATTCGCGCCAGCCGTCAGCGGCCCCGCAGACTTGTGGAGGTGCACGGTTGAGGCTCGATTCGGGACTCGGATCTTTCACGTCTCCTTTTACTGACGTCTCCATTGGATGGTTTCAATGTTTTTTTTGCGATCTTGAAAATACTGCCCCTCCTATTAGGCTTAGGCCCCTCCAATTATCTTCAGAACAATTCTATTAGCTTTAGGCTCTTCCATATCCTTAGTTCCCTCCTATTAGCCGAAGGCCCATCCTAAAGCCTTAGGCCCCTCCTATTAGACTTAGGCCCCTCCTATTAGGCTTAGGCCCCTTTCAATTATCTTCAGACCAATTCTATTAGCTTTAGGCTCTTCCATATCCTTAGGTCCCTCCTATTAGCCGAAGGCCCATCCTAAAGCCTTAGGCCCCTCCTATTAGACTTAGGCCCCTCCTATTAGCCGAAGGCCCATCCTAAAGCCTTAGGCCTCAAGTATTAAACTTAGGCCCTTCCATATCCTTAGGCCCCTCCTATTAGCCAAAGGCCCATCCTAAAGCCTTATGCCCTTCCGATTAGACTTAGGCCCCTCCCAATAATCTTAGACCTCTCCTATTAGTCTCAGGCCCCTCCTACTAGCCTTCTAATGGGTGCGCCCCAGGTAGTCTATCGGCAGGGCGCGCGTGACCTTCAGTGGGACTGACCTTGAGGTTCTTGACTGCGATGGTGGGGTCGGACAGGAAGCTCTGGCGCACACTGATCTCGATGCCGGCCTTCTTCACCTCGTCCTCCAGGTCGTCCAGCGTCTGTGAGAAGCGGTGACAAAGCTCACGAGGGCACACGGGAGGTCTTGATTGGTGAGCAGTCCCTCGTGGGGGGCCACGCCTGGCCCACAGGGGGTCCTGGGAGCGGCTGAAGCCGAGCTAAACTAAAAATGAACTATTTTTTTCTTCTTTGGTTTTTTCGGTAAAGTCACGTATAAAAATAAAATAATAAATTAAATAATAGCATACGACGTTTCGATTGCAACACAAGCAATCATCATCAGGTATAATGAAATAGCGACATAGAATATAACCAGAAAACTATAGACAGACATATAAGCAGACAGATATCACCAAGATACATAGAGAGAGCAACCCAGGTACAGAGAGAGGTGATCGTCTCTGTGGGGTGGCCTTAAATAGACAGAGGGGGGCGGAGGCAGAGAGAGGGAGGGGGTAGGGAAAACATTTACATGTCAATGAGTACGAAAGGAGGGGAGTAAGGTAAGCAGGCTTAGAGGGAGATAGAACACACTAAATTAAATAACCTAGCAAAGTATCGAAATGTTATGTAAAACGACACAGAGAGTCGGTCAACACACAATTAATGCATTGCCTGGTCGATTACGTATTTCAAAGATTGCTAAGTTAGAATTTAAGTGTGAAAATTCCAAAGAAAGACAAAACATAAAAAAAGAGGAACGGAGACACACAGACAGAGCAGAACCTAAGAACGATACAAAACGAGTGTAGACAGAGAAAATTACACTAAATATACAGGCAGAGAGAGAGAACAAGAAACCCAGAGAGAGAGAAAAAGGTATCGAAATGTTATGATACTTTGCTAGGTTATTTAATTTAGTGTGTTCTGTCTCCCTCTAAGCCTGCTTACCTTACTCCCCTCCCTTCGTACTCATTGACATGTACATGTTTTCCCTACCCCCTCCCTCTCTCTGCCTCCGCCCCCCTCTGTCTATTTAAGGCCACCCCACAGAGACGATCACCTCTCTCTGTACCTGGGTTGCTCTCTCTATGTATCTTGGTGATATCTGTCTGCTTATATGTCTGTCTATAGTTTTCTGGTTATATTCTGTCGCTATTTCATTATACCTGATGATGATTGCTTGTGTTGCAATCGAAAGGTCGTATGCTATTATTTAATTTATTATTTTATTTTTATACGTGACTTTACCGAAAAAACCAAAGAATAATTCCTGCAGTCACGAAAGCTCCAAAATTATTTTTTTCTTCTTGGTTCTTTCGGTAAAGTCACGTAGAATGGAAATAATAAAATAATAAAAATAAAACATCAACTCGCCATGCCCTTGAGAACTTAGTTCTAATCACAGGTAGTGGGTGAAAACTATGAACTAATCAACTATTTTAGGCCCACCGAGTTAAATGGTTATTTTTCAGAAGCGAACTGGCCACAAACGGATAGCACAACGAAGGGGAAATGTATTGCAGCCAAATAATCTAAATCCATGTTCATTCTAAATGCGGAGGGAAAAACTGGAGGATCTATATTCTTTGGGTCTTTTGGTAAAGTCACGTAGATAGGTTCAAAGAAAATAACAAAAAACAAAACTGGAGGATCTGCAAGAAAAATCCACACGGCCACAGGGAGAGAAACATGCAACCTCCAAATATACAACAGGCGTCAGGGTTGGAATCGAACCCACGACTTCCTGTATGCCAGGCAAGCTTTTTAACATTTCGCCACCGTGGCACCTCTGAGAGATAATATACGGCTCACAGAGACATTGAGATGCTGATTAGTAAAGATGAGCGAGAGATAATGAGGGATGAGAGATGACAGGGATGAGGATGAACGAGATGAAAGAGTTGAACAAGATATGAAAGTCATGTAGAAAGATGGAGATAACGGAACTGGAGACGAAGAGATGAGAGAGATTAGCGGTCACATTCACGAATCGTAATGGCATCATTCTGACTGTTAACAAGAGCAAGCGGGGCTTGGACAGAACATAACCACTGCGTGAAGGGCCATGCTTCCCTTTTTTTTCTTTTTTTTACATTCAGTGGAAACAAGAAGATGCTCGGTGTAGTCGGCACTTTGCTTCGTTCATCATTTTGTATTTTTTTTTTAATAATAACTTTGCTTTATGTAAAACCCCACCTCTCGCTCACTCCCTCGCTCACTCTCTCGCTCACTCTCTCGCTCACTCTCTCGCTCTCTCTCTCGCTCACTCTCTCGCTCACTCTCTCGCTCACTTTCTCGCTCACTCTCTCACTCACTCTCTCGCTCACTCTCTAGCTCACTCTCTCGCTCACTCTCTCGGTCACTCTCTCGCTCATTCTCTCGCTCACTCTCTCGCTCACTCTCTCGCTCACTCTCTCGCTCACTCTCTCGCTCACTCTCTAGCTCACTCTCTCGCTCACTCTCTAGCTCACTCTCTCGCTCACTCTCTCGGTCACTCTCTCGCTCATTCTCTCGCTCACTCTCTCGCTCACTCTCTCGCTCACTCTCTCGCTCACTCTCTCGCTCACTCTCTCGCTCACTCTCTCGCTCACTCTCTAGCTCACTCTCTCGCTCACTCTCTCGGTCACTCTCTCGCTCATTCTCTCGCTCACTCTCTCGCTCACTCTCTCGCTCACTCTCTCGCTCACTCTCTCGCTCACTCTCTCACTCACTCTCTCGCTCACTCTCTAGCTCACTCTCTCGCTCACTCTCTCGGTCACTCTCTCGCTCACTCTCTCGCTCACGCTCTCTCTCGTTCTGCACGCAGCCCTTCTCGCAGTCCGACGGCCTCCGACGGGTAGCTCATAACAGCATGCAGAGCTCCCCGTCATCTGCCACCGAGCACACGGCCTCCTCCATCGCCCACTGCTCCTTGAAGGCCGGCACGGCGTGGGTCAGCCGCGCGTAGCGGAACTCCAGCCACAGCCTGGCTCCGACCAGAGCGCGGAAGATGCCCAGGCTGCTGGCCGGACGTTTCCCCTCCAGGGCCACCTTCCTCGCCCTGTGCATGGCGAGCTTGGCGTAGCCGACGAGCACGTTGACCAGCCCCTGGAGATGTTGGGGTCCGTTGCCCTTTTGCAGAGCCGGCCCAGCCACTAAGTGACCCTTGCAATTGCAAAGGGCCCCGTGGCCAGCAGAGGGCCCCCTAGAGTCACTGCTAGCTAGTGGGTGAAAAAAATCAAACATCAAAGGGGCCTCCAACCAAATTTTGCTTAGGGCCCCCAAAGGTCTAGGGCCGGTTCTGCCCTTTTGGTATCCAAAGATGAGGACCGTCGGGGAGAAGTGGAGGCTGAACCTTAGGAGGATGTTTTCCTCTTGCTGTGAAGTGCAGGCTTTGATTCAAAGTCCTAACCAATGACCTTTTGCCGTTTCGATTTCTCACGCGGCATGCTGTTATTTATTTGACTGAATTGCTGAGTAAGCCAGGTCGGTGAAATGGGTGAGGGGTGGTGGTCGGATGGGAATTTGTGGATCTCCAAAGTGTCATCTCATCTGATGAAAGTGCAGAGCACAAACGCTTCCCCTCCCTCATTGTTCGTAAGCTGTGGAATTCGACTCTGACTGCCCTGTGACAGAGTCAATCAATAAGGACGCTGTTATTATGCCAACTGGCTCAACTGAGTCGCTCGCTCTCTCTCTCTCTCTCTCCCTCTGAGGGATTAATTGCTTAACATTTTTTCTTACCTGCTGCTAATACCTAATTTCAGACGTGTATGCTTAAGGGAAAAGGCGCGATTGGAAGAACATAAAAGAGTGCGATACTTCCATTTTTAAATCATTATTACGTTCCCCAACCGCAAATACAGTACGTCAATGTTGCAGAGGTTCACGGTTCGAATCTAGTGGCCACCCTGGTAGTTACCGCGGTTGCTATAACCATTTGCCAAATTCGAAAAAGTGCCCCCATGTTATTAGCGATTTGGATTATACGGAACAAAGCTCGCTCCCCTATTGGTGGACTAGCGCGCCCCATTGCAGACCAGGTGCTGAGTCACCTTGCACCGCACGGGGACAGCTGCTTCTGGGGGTGCCCTTTCCGTGTTTGAGAAGAGATGAGTTCCATGTCCATTATCGCGTGTATGCCCCGATGCGGGAACGATGCAAGGATCGATGAAGAGATGATGAGAGAACGATGCGAGAATAAGGGAACGAAGAATGGAATGATGTGGGACCAATGAAGAGAATGATGCGGGATCGATGAATGGATCGATGCAAGATCAATGCGAGAATGATGAAGGGAACAATGCTGGATCGATGCGGGATCAATGCGAGACCGATGGAGGAAACGATGAATGGCACACAATGGAGGGAATCATGATGGTTCAGTTAAATTAATTTTACTTTGAATTACCCTGTGAGCCAATAAGCTCTCAAATCGGGTTTCATCAACAACAAAAACAACACCGGACGCTACCCCGGCATCCGTACAAGTCACGGTAAAATAGGTTAATAATAATTCTAGATTTGAAGCTTTCGTGACTGCAAGGATTCATATTCTTAGGTTTTTTCGGTAAAGTCACGTAGATAAAAAATTAAAATTAAAATTAATAAAAGTAAAATATAAATAAAATAAAAATCACGACGTTTCGGAGGCAACACAAGCTTCCGTCTTCAGGTGGAACCGTCACAGCCACGACAGCTGTATCAAGTGAGAGAAATTCCAAGAAAACAGTCCTTGTATATACTGGTTGAGGGTGGGAGGAGCCAAGGTGGGCCCTGGATATTATTTCTCTTACTTGATACAGCAATCGTGCTGTGACTGTTCCACCTGAAACGTCGTGATTTTAATTTTATTTTTATTTTACTTTCATTAATTTTAATTTTTTACCTACGTGACTTTACCGAAAAAACCCAAGAGTATGAATCCTAGAATTAATACCCTCTACGGGGATGAATTCCACCTATCTGTTAGAGTTTTTAACAGACAACGAGACAAGAAGTCACAGTCTTCTCGAGACGCTGGCCTTCCTCAAGAGATGCCGAGATAACAAGGTAATGCAAGGACGATTTTCTTGGAATTTCTCTTACTTGATACAGCAATCGTGCCGTGACGGTTCCACCTAAAGACGGAAGCTTGTGTTGCCTCCGAAACGTCGTTATTTTTATTTTATTTTTATTTAACTTTTATTAATTTTAATAAAAAAATTTTTTATCTACGTGACTTTACCGAAAAAAACCTAAGCATAAGTTAATAATGAACAATAACAGTTAACGCGAAACACTAAAACTGACAGCAACTCATAACCGCAGGGGAACGATGAAGGGCAACGCTCACCGACGTGAACACCTCGGATGTCTGCTGGATGGTGGCGATGCGGGTCCAGCCCCACTTTTTGAAGAGCTGCACGCGTGTCGGGTTATGGAGCGTGGCGGAGGGGTGCGTGCGGAAGAACGTGGGGAAACGCTGGCGGTTGGACAGCGCCGGGGAGCTGGATCCGTACGACAGCTGCGGAGAAAAAGAGAAAAAAATAAGTATAACCCGTAAAAACAAAGCTTTTCACTATAAATCCTTTATATGCGTGGCGGCTAGAGTCCTCTCGTCCTCTGGCTTGAGATGGCTGCCACCTATGGGTCAGATGATTGCATGGCAGCATTAAGCAATTGGTAATTAAATATAATATTTTTGTCCTAAAAAGTGTAAAATTTTGGAAACATTTTTGTTCACGAACATTAATTGTCACGCACAACGAGTCCGTGTGGAAAATGTCAGCTCGATTGGATCACGGGAAGTGGGTTAAAAAACGACCGAAAGATTTGCACGGTCCTAAGCAAGCAAGCGAACTTAATATAAAGGATTAAAAAACACAGCGGATTTTATTTCACAGAGTCCGTGACAGCCCGTCGCTTGATTCACATGTGCGGGAGGGGGAGATGAGTATTTAAATGTGGGTGGGGTGTGGGGGGGGCGCATTCATAATTTTGATGTAATGATCCCTTGCTGGCCAGGTGGCTCAGCAGCAGAATGAGCTGCCCTGAAAAGTTGCGAGTTCGAATCCTGGTTGAGGAGTTGACTCGGCCCAGCCTACCGACCGGGGTCGATAAAATAGGTACCACTTTGTGGGGGAGGGTAACAGCGAACGTACAACGGATGGAGTCGCCACCGCCAATAGGAATGTGGAGTTTCCACCACTGACCCAGGGCTGTAAAGGAAATTTGAGCCACAGCCTTCGATGCTCACTTGAACTGGAAATTACTTTTACTTTAGCATAATAGCAATAACAGTTTGTTAATCTCTTTTATTTAACCCGGAGATGACATCATTCTGAAACACTGCCCCTTTTTTTTTTAAAAGAAACCTAGGGTTATATAAAGACATTTTAGGGACATTTGAAACGTAACGAATATCGGCTACGTTGAACAATAATCGGGTCAAGCAAGTAGGTGAATCATCCTTAAGACACCTTCTTGGTTTTTTCGGTAAAGTCACGTAGAAGGGAAGTAATAAAATAATAAAAATAAAGAAACCTAGGGTTAAATCATTTTTTATTATGTTTTATTATGTTTTATTTTTTATTATTTTATTACTTCCCTTCTGCGTGACTTTACCGAAAAAACCAAGAAGATGAATCCCTGCAGTCACGAAAGCTTTAAATCCTTAAGACACTTTACATTTTCAACAAATATAACAAATTATGGAAGGGAAAGTTACGATAATTCTATGATATTCTTGCGTGTGATGGCCATGTGTTCAGCAGCTCGATGTCAATGTCGAGGTCTGCTGCTGCTGACCATGACGAGAGGACTTCAGCAGAGAGAGATAGTTCGTGTCGTAATAGTAACAGGTTTTTACCCTTTCAACTGGTACAAAACTGACACCTTTATACAAGGCATCATGTTTGCAATAACCACAACACAAGCAGTCAAAATGCAAACAAAAAGAAACAACTCTGATGATGATAATGATATGCACTGTCCTTGGAGTTGATTGGTCCACACCCGAGACAGCTTTTCATAGAGCCTAGTCTCCATTGGTGTTGGACTAGATGACGCTAAAAGGCGTACAACTCAAAGACAGCGCACTATCAGAGTATTGAGAGCTCGGGGTAAGCATTTACACTATGAGACCTCCTTTACCAGTGGCAAAATATAGCAATAGGTTTTTACCCTTTCAACTGGTACAAAAACTGACACCTTTATGCTCTGATAGTGCGCTGTATTTGAGTTGTACGTCTTTTGGCGTCATCTGGTCGCTCTAAGAAAAGCTGTCTCGGGTGTGGACCAATCAACTTCAAGGACAGTGCATACCATTATCATCATCAGAGTTGTTTCTTTTTGTTTGCATTTTGACTGCTTGTGTTGTGGTTATTGCAAACATGATGCCTTGTATAAAGGTGTCAGTTTTTGTACCAGTTGAAAGGGTAAAACCCTATCACTATATTTTGCCACTGGTAAAGGAGGTCTCATAGTGTAAATGCTTACCCCGAGCTCTCAATACTCTGATAGTGCATTGTGTTTGAGTTGTACGCCTTTTGGCGTCATCTGGTCCAACACCAATGGAGACGAGGCTCTAAGAAAAGCTGTCTCGGGTGTGGACCAATCAACTTCAAGGACAGTTCATATCATTATCATCATCAGAGTTGTTTCTTTTTGTTTGCATTTTGACTGCTTGTGTTGTGGTTATTGCAAACATGATCCCTTGTATATAGGTGTCAGTTTTTGTACCAGTTGAAAGGGTAAAAACCTATTACTATATTTTGCCACTGGTAAAGGAGGTCTCATAGTGTACATGCTTACCCCGAGCTCTCAATACTCTGATAGTGCGCTGCCTTTGAGTTGTACGCCTTTTGGTGTCATCTGGTCCAACACCAATGGAGACTAGGCTCTAAGAAAAGCTGTCTCGGGTGTGGACCAATCAACTTCAAGGACAGTGCATATCATTATCATCATCAGAGTTGTTTCTTTTTGTTTGCATTTTGACTGCTTGCGTTGTGGTTATTGCAAACATGATGCCTTGTATAAAGGTATCAGTTTTTGTACCAGTTGAAAGGGTAAAAACCTACTACTATATTTTGCCACTGGTAAAGGAGATGTCTCATAGTGTAAAGAGTTCGTGTCGTTTTGCTGTTCATCCTCCTCCTCCGTTGAAGGAGGGCTGACCGCATTTGGTTTAATTCAACGGTCTCAAATTTGGGTTACGTGGCCACAATCGCACACCTGTGGCCCGATTGTCATGTTTCCCTCTGTATCTACACGAGTCTGTGCGCACCTCTTGGAGTCTCTATGTATCTCTGCGCGTCTCCGTGGGTTCACGGATTACATCGTCAAGAGTTGGGTTTGTCGAGGTGTCGCTGTTGTCAAGAGTGCGTGAATCACTCGCGCAACTGGTGCGATGTGCCACAGCTGACACCCGACGCGTGAAACAACACTTGCAAATGAAATGTAAAGTAAGAACGGCTTTGCAAGTGTCTCGGTTTGCCACGGTCGATCTTGGTTTGTACGGAGCGTTAACATTTTCACTGTAAGCTGTTATCATTGTGAAACCTTGCCACGTTCGCCAACGGCACATTGCCGTCACGATGCGAGCGGAGGTGATTGGGTGGCCCAGAGGTCAGAGCACTCAGCCGGCACCGCTGAGAGCCTGGGTTCCAATCTAGGTCGACAGGAGGAATACAGGAGGTCGTGGCGAGATGTTAACTACCTCGCCTGGTATACAGGAGGTTCATGGGTTCGATCCCGACCCTGAACCCCGTAAATTTGCAGTTTCTACGTTCTCCCCGTTGTCGTGTGGATTTTTCTCCGGGTCCTCTGGTTTTTCCCTTCCACATTTAGACTTAACATGCGTTTTTTGGACTATCATTTGTGGCCAGGTTGCTTTTGGAAAAGAGCTAGTTCGCTCGGTGAGCCTTAACTGGTACAATAAAAATAGTTCGCTAACCATATCCGATTCCGAGACGTCTGAAAGTTGCAGGGTGGGTCCCGTACGCCGCTGAACCTCGGAATGCGCAAGCGGCTAGCGTTAATTTGATTTACTCACCGCAGAGACCTGTAGCAACACGACCGCATTTTCTGAAAGCCAGCACCAAACTGTGCCACACGCCCTCCCGCATGGCCTTGTGGGAGCCCCGGTATGACTTCCCCACGTGTACGTCATCGTGACAAAATCGGAAGAAAAACGAAAAACGTTTGTTCCGATGGCGTACACGTATGAAATAATGTTATTTCATCGGTACGTCTTCTGACCTGAACACGTACCGAGGCTCCCACACAAGGCCACGCGGGGGGAGGCGTGCGGCACAGTTCGTCTTCCCTAAGTGCACCTCATCGGAACAGAATCGGAAGAAAAAAACTGATGACGTACACGTACACGTACGTCACCGGAATGGCAAAGGGGTAATAGTTTTCAGCCACTGCCTGTCATTAGAACCGAAGTCTCGAAGGGCATGGCGAGTTTCTGGCCAGAGCTGGGTCACCAACGATCGCCCTCGGCTCACCACGATGATGTTGAACATGCGAGCCGCCTCGGCCACCAGCGTGGAGACGCTGCTGCAGCCAGGCAGCAGTACGAGCTTGATGGGGTCCTTGTAGAGCAACTCGTAGAGCAACTTCGTGGCCAGGCCTGGCTGGCACTGCGCTCCACACAGCACACACACAGCACACACACAGCACACACACAGCACAGACTATTAGCACGGTTGGCTATGCATGGTGCGAAAGAGGTTCAACACACATTTCTACATACGGACGTAACGCGTTTAATCGATGATACCCTGCGTACGACACACACACACACACAGCACAGATGCATCGTGTAGGCCAATGATATCCTGCCTATGACACACACAGCACACACACAATACACACAGCACAGATGTATTCTGTGAGCTAATGATAGCCTGTGTACGACACACAGCACAGACACATACAGCACACGCAGAGCACAGATGCATCGTGTAAGCCAATGATATCCTGCCTATTACACACACAGCACAAACACAATGCACATAGCACAGACGCATAATGTGAGCCAAAGATACCCTGCGTACGACAAACACAGCACACACATACACAGAACACACACACAGCACAGACGCATCATGTGAGCCAAAGATACCCTGCATATGACACACACACACAGTACACACAGGACAGACGCATCATGTTTAGGCAATGTTACTCTGCGTACGACACACACAGTACACACAGCACAGACGCATCGTGTGAGCCAATGTTACCCTGCATAATATACATTTAATTTACAAATATATGAATATTATTTGTGTATTATACTCCCCCAAAATGGTATCCCGATTATCTTACCAGTGTCACGTAATGGGGATGAGATCGATTATCTATTCGGAAGTCTTGCAGAGCGGTGTCAACCCGTTCGTGTCCAGAGAATATCCCACAGAAGCAGACATCACAGAGTTACTTCTGAGCTCCTTTCAAGCGACCTCTGTACTGCACCACAGCTGGTGGCACTATCCCACCCATCCTGATAGGCAAAACTGGTATGCTTGATCTTCTTGGTTCTTTCGGTAAAGTCACGTAGAAGGGAAGTAATAAAATAATAAAAATAAAACATAATAAAATAATTCTCACGACGTTTCGGCCACAACGCAAGCAGCCGTCCTCAGGCGTTGTGGCCGAAACGTCGTGAGAATTATTTAATTATGTTTTATTTTTATTATTTTATTATTTCCCTTCTACGTGACTTTACCGAAAGAACCAAGAAGATGAATCCCTGCAGTCACGAAAGCTTTAAATCGAAATGGTATGCTTGATTTTCAAAGGTGGAATTTTCACCGACTTTCAGTTCAGAACCAAAATACAATGCAATGCCATTATTTCGCGGAGTCATTGGCAAACGGCATGTGACCATCGACCCACTGCATTTGAGAACGCGGTTCAAACCAGAGGCTGCTGTGACCTGGGTCCGAACCGAGGCCCTGACCTCTGAGCTACCCGTCTGCCTCCCCCGGCAGCTGTTGACGCACATCGAAATGCACGTAATTTTTTAAATTCTTTATATTAAGTTCACTTGCTTGCTTGCTTGCGTGCTTGCCTGTTTGCTTACGACCGTGCAAATCATTCGGTCGTTTTTTTAACCCACTTCCCGTGATCCAATCGAGCTGACATTTTTCACACAGACTCGTTGTGCGTGACAATTAATGTTCGTGAAATAAAATTTCCTAAATTTTACACTGTTTAGGGAAAAAAATACATATTTAATTACCAATTGCTTAATGCTGCCAGACAATCATCTGACCCATAGGTGGCAGCCATCTCAAGCCAGAGGACGAGAGGACTCTAGCCGCCACGCATATAAAGGATTTATAGTGAAAAACTTTGTTTTTACGGGTTATACTTGTTTTTTGTTTCAAATTCCGCGAAGGTGTTTTTTTCACATGTCCGGCCTTAGCTTTTGGCGCTGCCACATAATACCGAGGTGTAGTGGCGCACGCCTCTGATCCGGAACTTCAAAGGCAAGGGTTGGTAAATCACACAAAGACAACAATTCACATTTGTAATGCGTCCCAGAATGCGACGAGCATCTCACAGAGTGCAGATTTTACGCACGAAGAATGGGAGAGAACGAGAGAGCGAGCGCGGCAAGGGACAGCGATACAGAGCAAGTGAATAACTCTGCGAGTCATCTAGTAACTCACAGAACCACTCGCTCATCTGTCCACCACTCGTTCATTTTTTTCTCTCCGCCTTATGAAGACCGCTTGCGTTGCGATCGAAACGTCGTGGGTTTTTTTGCTTTCATTTAAGATTTTTTGTTTTCTATTTACGTGACTTTACCGAAAGAACCAAGAAAATGAATTCCTGCAGTCACGAAAGTTTTAAGTCTAAATGCACTCGTTCATCTCTTCAACCAACCACTCGTTCATCTGTTCACCCAACCACTCACTCATTTGTTCACCCAACCACTCGTTCATGTGTTCATCCAACCACTCGCTCATCTGTTTCCGAACCACTCGCTCATCTGTTCACACAACCACTCGCTCATCTGTTCACCCAACCACTCGTTCATCTGTTCACCCAACCACTCGCTCATCTGTTCACCCAATGACTCGCTCGTCTCTTCAACCAACCACTCACTCATCTGTTCACACAACCACTCACTAATCTCACCCAACCACTCGCTCATCTGTTCACCCAACCATTTGTTCATCTGTTCACCCAGCCACTCGCTCATCTGTTCGCCCAACCACTCGTTCATCTGTTCACCCAACCACTCGCTCATCTGTTCACCCAACCACTCGTTCATCTGTTCACCCAACCACTCGCTCATCTGTTCACCCAGCCACTCGCTCATCTGTTCGCCCAACCACTCGCTTGCTCACCCACCTACTCACCCACCCACTTATCACCTATAACACAACCTGCTGTGCCTGATGGTCACCTATCCAACCACTATCCGAATTAATTTGTTCATATGATTTTTTAAAAAGTCAAAGTGATTTCTTTCTCAATTAGCATCGAGGCGGTGCTATTATCTCTTCGATAAAAAAACAGCGAAGAGCTCAGTGGGCTTTCCCTGCTAAAGAACATTTCGTTCAGTTTTAAACGAGTTCACAAGCATGCGTTAGCAATGAGAGAGGTATGTTTCAGTCTGTATGCACAAGTGAGGAGCCGGTTAGCAGACCGCACTGCGCTACGAACCCGACGACCCGAATTCCGATTTTCTCGCTCACGACCAAATTACAGCGGCGAATATTTGTGCAAGACCTAGGCCTCCCCTAAGACGGCTCAGCCTTAAAAAAAGCTTGACCCCCCCCCACCACCACCCCCCCCCCTTTATACAACATCTGAAATAAGTTATCGGGCAGGAGGGTCGGGAGACATGGACCGAGGATAAGGGATATGATCCCTGCATATCAGACTCGGACGGGTGGAAGGAAATCATGCTCATATTTTTATTGTGTTTATGGCAGGCGTGTTTTGGTTATATCCCTATCTCAGCATCCCCCGCCCCCCTTACTTAACCAAAGCACTACCTTTACCATACTTCTTGGTTCTTTTGGTAAAGTCACGTAGAATTAAAATAATAAAGCAATTTCGTTCAGTATTTTATTATGTTTTATTTTTATTATTTTATTATTTCCATTCTACGTGACTTTACCGAAGAACCAAGAAGATGAATCCCTGCAGTCACGAAAGCTTTAAATCGAAACTTTACCATACTCTTTGGTTCTTTCGGTAAAGTCACGTAGGTAGAAAAAATAAAGCGACCGTCTTCAGGTGAGAGAATCAGACTGCAGTCTGATTCTGTCACCTGAAGACGGGCGCTTGTTGTTGCGATCGAAACGTCGTGATCTATTATTTTTTTTTCTACCCACGTGACTTTACCGAAAGAACCAAAGAGCATGGATTCCTGCAGTCACGAAAGCTTAGAATCAAACGACCTTTACCCCCTTCTGCTGGTTCGGGGCAGTGGGTCCATCCCACCATCTGTTCATCACCTGCCTGGTAGAAGCGTTCGAGTTTATGTTGACGGTGCATCCGTGCGTCGCGACGCCCCGATGCATCGGGCCCGCGCATCGCCTTGATACAACACGAATAGATAATAGTGGTTCTAGATTTGAAGCTTTCGTGACTGCAAGGATTCATATTCTCAGGTTTTTTAGGTAAAGTCACGTAGGTAAAAAAAATGTAAATTAATAAAAGTAAAATAAAAATAAAATAAAAATCACGACGTTTCGGAGGCAACACAAGCTTCCGTCTTCAGGTGGAACCGTCACAGCACGATTGCTGTATCAAGAGAGAGAAATTCCAAGAAAACAGTCCTTGTATATATACTGGTTGAGGGTGGGAGGAGCCAAGGCAGGCACCTGGACATTATTTTTGTGAGGTTCGGTGCGGCTGAAGCACGCTGCTAGAAATGAGCCTTTGTTGTGTAGACTGATTGAAATGGGAGGTTCCAAGAGTTGTTAAGGTGCCGGAAGCTTGTGTTGCCTCCGAAACGTCGTGATTTTTATTTTATTTTTATTTCACTTTTATTAATTTTAAATTTTTACCTACGTGACTTTACCGAAAAAACCTAAGAATAAGATAATAGTGGTTCGCGGCGGTGTGCAAACGTCAGCACGAGGAAGACAAAGGCAGCCGGGCGTGGTGCTCACCACCCACCCCGTCACGTGCCGTGCCGGGTCTTCATAACGCGCACGCCAAACAGCACTTGCCCCAACAGCCTGTTAAAGGCTACGCGGGGGATCTGTGCCTGTCTTACCGCACGGCCACAATCATCGCCATTCCCCAATGCTACGCTGCGTATTTCCCCCCGCTGTTTACTCGCGACGCGGCATGCATGGAGACGTCGTTTGCTCAGCTTGAAGCCAACAACCCCTCTCTGAAATGGAAGCCGATCACCGCTGCAATGCACGTCCGCCCGAGTTGAGCCAGTGACTGAAATAATGACAGTCTGGAGAGAGAATCGCAGAAGCGAAATAAAATAATAAAAACAAAACATAATAAAATAATTCTCACGACGTTTCGGCCACAATGGCTGCTTGCGTTGTGGCCGAAACGTCGTGAGAATTATTTAATTGTTTTATTATTTATTATTTTATTATTTCCCTTCTACGTGACTTTACCGAAAGAACCAAGAAGATGAATCCCT